TCTATTATTCCTATGTCTCAACGCATTTATTTACTATTTTTATTTGTTTTATTAAAAATATTTAATTTATTATATATAAATATAAAAATACTTTTAATTTTACAAAAATATATTTTTCGTTTGCATTTACAATCAATATTATCTTATACTGTATATTTTTTTTTAACCAATAAAATAATATTATCTCCGTCTATCGTCAATTTATTAATTTATTTTTTTTCATCTTAATTTTTAAATATTAATTATTATATTAAAACGTAATACAAATCAAGAGAAAATGACAAAAATAATTCTATGAGTGTCTTATAATACTAATATAATGACATTTGTATAAAAGAATTATACAAATATAATAATATTTTTAATGTTAAAAATAATAGCGGCAAATACAAATAAGTAGATTTGCAGTGGACGGAGATAGTATTATTTTTTAATTTACGAAAAAAAAACTACTGAGAGAGTATGGGTGTGTTTGTTAATTAGATATAAATAGAGGTTGACGTGATATTTTGAATATAAAATAGATTTATAGTATTTCATCTATCCCACTTAATTTATTCACTATTTATATTTCCGTCCGTCCATCCCACGTAATTTGTTCTGTCCATCCCACATAATTTGTTCTATTTTTAAAATATAATTATACACTTGAATCACGTCTTAAAATTCAAATTTATAAAAAAAATATATATATTTTAATAAAATTATTTAGTTATCTTAATCTATAATTACTTTTATTAAATTATAATTATTTTTACTAATATATTTTTTAAATTATTTACTGATTATACCATACCTAAAACTCGGTGTCTAATCTAAATGGGACAAGATTTGATTTTTATTTTTTTTAGAAAAAAAAAAGATTGAGTAGTAAAAATTTATGAAAAAAATAAAAATAAAAATTGAATAGTAAAAATTTTTTATCTGAATAATAAAAATTTGTTTTGAATGTGATGTTTTATTAATAGAAATAATTAGAGGAAGCCATGGATAATAAAACCCACACTACGTAAGTGATTAGCAGTTATGTCTATTTATTTACATATTATTGAGCTTTCTTGGCGTGCTGACCATTTCATTGGTTGGCATCAAATCAATTTAATTGTCCCATTATTTAAAATTTAAATTACCATTTTAACAACCAACTAAAATTATAATAAACTAATCTCCTATCAATTCAACCCATAACGGTTTGATTTTAAATAATACTTTAATTAAGGAGAGATATATATATATATATATATTATTGTAAATCGAATAGTATTACCATTAAATAAATAACCTTCACTAATCTTAGGAATGAATGAATCTAGAAACAAAATTAGAAGTAATAAACTTAAATAAGTAAAAAATTATTAAAAAAAATTATAATATTTTTAATAAAAAAATAAACACATTTATCCTCAAAATATTACAAGATATATATATGTATATATTGAATGAAGTATTACAATGAACAACGTCAATTTTGGTGCTGATTGGTTTTAATCATATCGTACTGACGATATAATGCAAAAATACATACAATACATATCATAATCTATCTCGGTGTAATATTGCTTATTGATATACTCTCTCCGTTCCATAACTATGTATCTGTTTGCTTTTTTACACGGAGTTTTAGAAATATTAGTATTATATTGGGACGTAGTAGGAATAAAGTATAAATGACTAAAATAACCTTATTAGTATTGTGTGATATAAAAGTAATGGTATTTGTGTAATATATTGTAAATCGTAAGAGTATTTGTAATGTTAGATAGATAGTAAAGTTACTTAAAAAAAAAAAAAAAAAGAAATTAATACTTTGTTATGGGACAGACTAAAATGAAAAAATAAATACTTTGTTATGAGACAAAAGAAATGTTACAAATGATAACTACACAGTATATATCATAGTTGATTGCGGTACATATCATATATTGATAATACATTAATATATTTAGGTCATATAAATACAAATTTTAATGAATATAATTACATTGGTTGATTGTGATATAAAATAAAAGTATTTGAAAAGTATATAAGTGAGTTACTAATATGAAAAAATAAATAAATAAATTAATTAATTGAGTATGTTATTAGTGACGTATATGTAAATAAGTAGAATTGTGAAGAGTATAAATCATAGAGTAAGTAAAAGTTAATGAAAAATATACTCTATTCGTCCCACCTAATATGTTTAAGCTATTCGTCCCACCTAATATGTTTAAGTTACCGTAAATACGAGAATTTAAAATAAATATAATTAATAAATAATTAAGAATTTATTAGTGAAATACTTATATTATATAATATAAATAAATTAAAAAATATATAAATTAGACGAATTAAAATAAAATTAAAGTGTGTAATCATTTAAAAAAAAAAAGTCACATAAAATGAGACGTGGGATAAACAAATAATATAAACATTGTAGGTGAGACAAAGAGAGTACATTTTTTGGGAAAAAAATAAATATAAATTTGATGGACATATACAGTTTGTTCACATTGTATTTTTTATTAACACAATTTCCTATAAATATTATTTTAAAAATATAATATACCACAACATTAACTCAATATATAATATATATTATTATTTATTTATAAAAGTAAAATTTCAATATAAATATTACTTTCTATATTACCTAATATTTTACATAACATAAAATAAAAAATAAAAATAAAAAAAAAAACAAATTCGTTGATAATGGCAAGTTGTTGAATATATAAATAAATATGTTATTATTTTTTTTTATAGGTGATGATTGAGTAGGATCCGCCCCCAGCCTAGTCCGGGACCACATTTAGGTCAATTATAGGGTTGGCTCGTTAAATCGTAGGTTTATAGCGACATTTGTTGGATCCTATACAATTAAATACTAACAAGTTTGTTTGTTTTTTCATTTGATTTTTAAATTAAATAATATTTTTAATTTAATATTTTTATATGAAATTATATTATCGAAAAATTATAGGATTAAAAATGTCTAATTTGAGCTTGAAAATCAAATTAAATATATTTTTGTATTCGTTCATTTTGTATTTTTAAAATAAATTTATTTTTCATGTTAAAGTATAATAAATTGTATTAATAATATAAAAAATAATATTTTGTGTTAAATAATTTATTTTTTTGAGTGAATGTATTAATGTATGCGTATATTTTATCTTTTAAAATAATATTTATAAAGAATCATTGCACTTAAAAATATTAAGTGAACAAATCCAAAATATATGTGCTAAATCTTTTACTTTTAGAAAGTTTTAAAATATTAATATTTTTCTTTAAATATATATAATTAATAAAATATTATAAATTAAAAAAAAAAAACTACTAGAAACAATATAGTAAAAAATATTAAATTTTTTTTTTTTTTATCATTTCAATTTCAAATTTACTTTGCAAAATTAGTATAAAATTATACAATAAGATAATATTGACTCTATTTATCGTGCAACACTACGATTGTCTACCAAATTGTATCAAAATTTTGTAAAATATTATATTTAATACTCCATTCGTCCCAAATAATTTGTCCCTATTTTCTATTTTCGTCCGTCCCATATAATTTGTCCTTTCTTTTTTTTGGAAATTTAATTATAAACTTTAATTATATTTTAAATTTTAAAATTTAAATTTTTTTTAATTTTAATTAAACTATTTAGTTATCTTAATCTTAATTTATAATTATTTTTACTAAATAATAATTATTTTTACTAATATATTTTTTAATTACTTACTAATTATATTTTACCTAAACAGTAATAGATTCATATTACATGGGACGGGACGGAGAGAGTAATTATTTTATTAAATAAATATAAAATATTTATTTATTTATTCATATATATATATATATAAGGACAAGTAAACACACTGAAGACTAGTAATTAAATGCAACAATCCTTATGGTGTCACTATCATCTCCGACCAAAGCCACATCAATCCCACACAGTTTTTTTTTTTTTTTTTTTAAATAATTATATATTAATATAATCAATCTTTTTTGACTTTTTCCAAATATTAGCATGCATCAACTCTCTTTGTATTTTTATGCTACTTGATCATTGATGTGATTTAATAATATTATTTTATCAAATACTATTATTTAATTAATTTCATTGGATATTATATCCTTAACGAGTTGTGTACACAATATATAAATAAATAAATAAATAAAACTGTTAGGTCTGTATTGTTTAATGGGTCGCTAGGCCCAACTCAAAAGGCCCAGCTCAGTATCAAATGGGCCCAATAAATATACTAGGCCCAGATCACGTGCTCTAGCGCCTAGCCCACTAACTCAGCTCAACCCACGTGCTAAATTAAAGATTTCAGTCTGTAGTAGTTTTTTTTTTCTTTTCAAAAATATATGTTTGTATTTTAAATTTTGATATTTTTAAAGCAAAAAAAAATATTAAATGTTATTTTAATAAAAATATAATACTCTAGTATCATTTTTATTATTTTCGTCTGTTCTACTTAAGAATATTAATTTCTTATTTAGTAAAAATAATGATTATTAAAATTAAGATAATTAATTAATTTAATTAAAAATAATAATTTACCCAACTATTTAATTTATAATACAAATGATGATAAAATAAAATTTTAAAAATAAAAATTATAAATTTTATATGATTAAATGTATAATTTTTTTGAAAAAAAAAACGCATTATATAGGACGAAAATGAAAAATATAGATAAATTCCGTGGAAGGAAGAGTATAATAAGTGTGTTTGTTTGGATGTTTGAATTTTAATTGAGGGTTAAATAGTAAAAAATTTGAATTTTAATAATTGTATGATAATTATATAAATAAAAAGTGATATAATATTTTGAATGTAAAATTGATTTTTAATTCTATAATATAAAAAAAAATTAATAATAAGTATTTAATTTAATATTTTTTTTTAAAAAAATTATATGAATAATAAAAAGCTTTCCAAATCCCTTGAAACAAACCCTGAAACTATTTCTCTACGTAATTAAATTAAATGGCAAAAATAATATAAAATGCATATAAATAAAACAGTTAAGATTACGTACCTCTTCAAATACAACCAAGTCTTACATAACATTAACCCTTCATCTTGCCCATCAATCCTTCTTAAGAACACTACCAAGTATACACATCCCCATCCCACAATTTCCGGCGGCGGCGCCGCCACCACCGCCGAATTCCGAACAACTCTTTATTCAATATTAATGGACACAAGCTGTACCGTCGCCTCCTCGACTCTACCGACCGTCTCCGAATCTCCATTTTTTTCCGGCGGCCTCCTCCGATTACACTCGCAGTCGAGCGTTGAGCCACGCCACGATAGTCTTTGTAATTTCTTCCTTCTCGGGTTCAAAAAGTAGGTCGTGGAGGAGCCCCTCGTAGAGGCGGATCGTCTTGTCGTCCGACAACGCCTCCTCGTGGAGCTTCCGGGAGGCGTCGGGGTCGGTCACCGAGTCAGCCGTGCCATGGAGGACGAGAAACGGCGTCGTGATCCTCGACAAGTTCTGCTGGAGATAGCCCGCGATTCGGAGAATCTCGTATCCCGTCCGCACCCTGATCGATCCTGTGAACACCAGAGGATCCGAGTACTTCGCCGCCAGCGCTTCCGGGTCTCTCGAAACTGTGATTCCGTTCTTGTTCGCCGCGCTGAATTGAAATCTCGGCAACAAGAACGACACGATCGGGGCGAGGACCTGCTATGACGAAAGAAAAAATATATATAAAAATGTACGAGAATATGTGTCGAGATTTTGCTCGTCTTAAAAGTCACGGATAGCAATTTAATGATCGGAAGTTGAATTACCGCGAAGATAGGGTGGGATGGCTGCACGCCTACGGCCGGCGAAGTTAGGACAACCCCGTCTACACGCCGTCGAATTTTTGGATCGAGCACGGCCTGTATATCGTGTTACGAATGAAAACACACACAAAGCAACGACCGCGTTATTGTAATGATATACACAATATATATATAGTTGGTATAGAACCAGCATTTACTCAATATAAGTAACCGGCGCCACGTGTATATATAGGCCGCAGCGCAGCGACTACAGTGCTAAATTTTAAATTAAGTACTGTGCTGAAAAGCACATCGTGTGCTGTCCGACAATATTGTTACTATTAACACATTATATATGTTAATATAATATAAATACAGTACATTAATTAGCAGCACATGTTATAGTCTCATATAACACACACTCTTATATAGCACACACTCTTATACAACACATACATACGTAATTATGAAGAAACAACACATGTCTTTATTACACACAACATATGATTGGTGTGTAATAAAAACATGTATTGTTTGTATATATTATAGGTGCTGAATTTTTTAAATGAGGACCGTAACCATTCCAATATATGTATATGTATTTACCTTGAGTACAATGGCTCCGCCGGTCGAATGTCCGAAGCAGAAGCAGGGGACATTCGGGTTTTCGCCTAAAACCTTACCGAGAAACATTTTCTGCAGAAAAAGTTGATAAGATTTAACACAAAGCTCCTAACCGTAACGATCCTACTTGTATATGTTATCTACGAAGCTGCGGAAAAATTACCATATCATTAACCGCGTCATCTAGAGAATGTACATACGCGTGGAGTCCATCGCTCCCGCCATGTCCTGTAATAACTCAACCCATAATTCACGGACAAAAAAAATGCCGACAACAATAGCTAGGTATCTCATCGAACCACGGCTACACAACACATAACTAGAGTCGACAAAATCAACACGATATATAACGACAACATCGACATGCTTTTCACATGGAAATCGATTTTACTACTCTTTTATTATCATCGCGAGCGAATGCATACGTCTCATTATTACAAGCAAGTTCGATCGTAAAAGGTTCGGAAAAAAAAAACAGCTTACATATGATGCAGGGCTTGCGGTGACACTTTTAAGCACCAACGGCCTCCACACAACGCCCTGCAACAACCCAAATATGTATACACATAGTTGAATCCTACAGCATCTATTAAATGAAAGCACGGCCTTGTTATATCTTCTAACAATCATTCGAATTTCAGTAATAACGTCTGAGAAAGTTTTCGATGATGAGTTAAGGGAGGCAATTACAATTATTCGGTTACCAGATGTGTAAAAAGAACAGATTTTTGCGAATATGTTAATGTAGCCGAGGTGTTAAAAAAGTTTCAGCTTACCAATCCAATCCATGCCGTAAACTTTGAAGCCGTTGGCGTTAAGTTTCTCGGCGAATTCGGTGTATCTTCCACTGTAAAACACTTGTCGATGAGTTGCGATAAAATTGCATCAGATTTAGAGCAGTAGATACAAGGTTGGGTGCAGACCTGTGTTCGTTGAGACCGTGCAAGAGAACGACGAGTCCCCTGCATATCGAAAAACAAATTTCATCAACCTCCATGGGAAAGGAATTCATCGAAGAAAAAATGGAACAATCGATGATCTAATAGAACAGACATAGTTTGAAGGATTTTCATTTTTTTTCAATTTCTTTACTATATAGTTGGCAAACTTAAATAGCGATCAACTACTAAAACGCTGTAGTAGAATATGCAAAATTAACAAAAATGCATAAGTATATAAATGTCAAAATATATGATCACGGATCGTCATATAAATAAAAACAATTAGATCACTACTATTTCGATAAATAGATAATAAAAATTAATTAGATTCAAATTCGATGAATAATGTTCTTTATTTTCACCCTCAAAGTCCTAACTATTACTGTATAGATATTCCACCTCTTCTCATCATCTTCATTCAATTTAAATCAAATTTCCATAAAAATTTTAAGCAGGCACATATTTCTATTTTAATTATCCAATTATACAATAATCATTTAAAAAAAAGTTCAATTTTACCATAAAATCATTATTTCTACACCGAGAAAACAAAAGCAAAATTGTTTTTATATTATTTTTAATTATCCGCTACAATTAAAATATTATTATTTCTTAAATTATGGGCAAAAAATAATTATTTATCTTCAAATTGGACGAAGAGAATTTATTTATTTCTTTTTAATTAATAAACTAAATGATAAGTGGCTCGATATATAAACCGATACTAAATGGCATTACGGTCGCTATTAACAACTATGTTTAATTACTATGCAATTCATTCAATTACTTATAAAAATTTATTATTTTCTTTCACAAAACATTGCATACGACCACTCTTTAAACCAAAATATCTTAGGTAATTCGTATTTAAGTGTCTTTAGCTAAAAGGATGAATTATACGTACGAGGAGATATATCATACGAAGGAACTAAGTATTCCTATGGCTAACATTTGACGACATCCACAAGATTTTTCGAGACTAAATGCAGTGTTCGGGCCATACCAAGCAAAAGAAGATAGGGACTTCAGCTAACATAAAATCTTTAAGATGAATGAAAGAGAATCATTCGATTTCAAAAAAATCAGGTCCCTAATAATGACAAGAAGCAAGAGCTGTAAATTTCATTATCAGTCGGTGTGTATTCACGGCCACAGGTTCTTCTTTGATGCTGCTGTCAAATATCATTAAAAATGTCGACACATTGTAAGTCGTAGGGCCTAAATATATCACACTTTTGAGAACATATCAACAAAATTTATTGTCACATGGAGAAAACAAGAGAAACCACACAAGCCTACTTCCCCTTAGGATATTATTCCTAAACTCGTGTTTGTTAATATGGATGATAAAAGCATGTCAATTTTACATACAAAATATTACATTCAACTACTGCTTCACTTAAAAAAAATAAAAAAAACAACGAAAATAAAAACCTACAAGATACATACCAATTACACCCGGAAAAAATTAAACCAAAATCCGAACTCATTTATTAACTTCACTAGTCAAATTGTGTCTTTGAGCTCTATTTAATTTATCTCTTGAACAAAAGTTTTTTCAAACTTGAATAATATGAGTAAGTTAAAACCATGTAATAATAATCCTAGATTAAAAAAAAAACTTATTTTTCATTTAATTTATTAAAGGTAAATTCTTTCTCCATTTCAAAATATTGAATTAAATACTAGTTGTATTAATTATATATATTTCAATTCAAATTTCTACTCTTTACGTATCTCAAATTCAAAATCTAAAAAGCTTGACACTATATTGTGTTTGGTTTGAGGATTTTCCCAATATTTTAATTTCTTTCAATATATAACTATATACAAAATTAATTTATATTAATAAAAAAATTAAAGAATAATAATATTTTAATATAAAAATAAATGGTAAAAAAATTAAAGTAGTGTATTACATAAAATTTATTAAAATATTGATAAAAAATATGTAACAAAAAAAAAATAGTGATAAATTAATTACTATTTATTAAAATATTGATAATAAAATTATTAATGAATAAAGTTATTTTTAAAACGGATTTAGCATAATTATAGCTGTGTTATTAAAATGTTTAATATTTAAATATTTTAAACTTGTTTGAATTCAAATTCCAACTTTAAAACAACCAAACTCACAATTAATGATGCCAGATTTGTTATAGAACAATGCAATTAAGAAACAAATTCAAATGATTGGGGGCAAAATTGGAAGAAATTTTACCTGACTGCAATCCTAACAGGCGTCCATGACTGCGTGAAAATGGTGTCCCCTCTCGCCGTAACAAACAGCGAAAAATCCCTAACCGTCTCGCCGCCGCGATCCTCAACCACTCTCTTAATCGCCGCCGCCCGCCGCGCCACCGCCTCCTTGTCCGCCGTCCTTCTCGGCACCATCGCCGCCGGCACTCTCACCACCTTCCCCGCCGCCGCCGATCTCTCATCCTTTCCCCCTCCTTTCTCCGACACCTCCGCCGCCGCGCCGGCCGGAAAACACCTCCTCCTGCCACGGAACGGCACCAAAATCACCAAAACAAACGCCGTTATCAAAATCCACAGACTCCTCAACAAACGCAGCGATAACAGCGCGCGAATCCTCCCGCTCGCCCCCGACGTTAGCATCACCGTCGCCGCCGCATCGTTCGGATTCCTCACCATCATCGCAAAAACGAAGAACAAATCGCTCTTCCGCAAACCAATTTCCGCCCAATTCCTCGATCGGAAGCGGTAGAAACCTCCCAACTTTCAAAATTCAGCGAAATCGAAGCCTCAAAATTAGGGTTAAAGCTGAAAATTGACGAATCTCGAAATCTAGAAGCAAAACATGCACGGAATTTTTCGGAGTTCCTTCCACCATAAATATTTGGGATCGGAAAGCGACTGGAGATTGGGAAAGGAAGAGGAAATTTATGGAGATTGATTTAAGCATGCAAATTGACAATTTGGAAATTGTTCTTCAATTTTTATTTTATTATTATTATATTTTTTGGTGCGAAAAATAATTACTTCACTTTAAAGGGAGGGTTGAGAAATTTGTGGGCAGCCACAGGAGACCTTTGGAAGCTACCGTTCATAGGACGCCACGTGGACATGTACGCGGCGATTGGCTTCTGCTTCAATTATTTATTGTTTTTTAAGACACGTGTCGTATTACTGTCGGATTAGATTGCCCATTTCTGTATCTAACTTAGAGCGTGCAATTTGTCCGTTCGGTTCGGGTCGGATTTTAAAACAAGTCAAACTATCCAACCCGACTCGACCTGTTTAATTAAATGGACAAAAATATCAACTTCAATTCGATCCGTTTAAACCTGATTAATCCGAAAATGATCCCTTTTTAAATAAATCAGATGATCCGAACTCTACCCTACTAATACGAAATTAACCCGCCTATTCATTTTAAAAAGTTTTAAAATTAAAATTGAACAAATCAAATAATCAATTAAAAAAATAAAAAATCATTAAATTAATAAAAAATAATCGAACGTACATATATATAATAAATAGTATAAACTATTAGCAAAAAATAAGATATATATAAATTGTGTTCAATTTAAAATACTATTTATTTGAAAGAATTACTATTACATTAAAATAATTAAAAAAAAATGACAAAAAAAACTATTAAAAAAATTGTTTGTGTTTGTTTTGAAAAATAATTATTCATATTAGATTGAGTTGGTATAAAATACGCCATTTGTACCAGTACTCAGTGTCATTAAGGGATATGTTTGTTTTGATAGCGGTTGCAAATTTCCATATTATTAAAAATAAATGTGTTTGTTTTGAAAAATAAGTTTAAAAAATATTTTTTTTTATGTAAAATATAAAAAATTTGTTTAGTTTATATAAATATAATAAATATGTGCAATATATTAATTTTTTAAAAATATATATATTATTTTATTTTATTGGCAAAAAGTTTGGCAAGATCAAATGTAATCAATGGCCGTGAGATGCGGAGGATGCAGTTGGAGGCCACAATCATGACTACATGATAACATGTGCGGGAAAGTGTTAAAATTTTAAAAATTATAAATTATAAAATTTAAAATATTATTAAAATATATAATTATTTTATGAAAAAATAGACAAATTATGTAAGATGATTAAAATAAAAAATATAAACAAGAGAGTATATTTTTGTTGGATATACATAATAAGTAATAATAATTGAATTTTAAAATAATAAAAAGAACAAAACTCTATGTTACTAAATTCTAATTTTATTTTTATAACAAGTATAAAAACAATATTAAATATTATGATTTTTAATAACCGTGGCCAATAATTGTAAACACAATTTTTGTAAGACTATTATTTTTTTTATTATTATTTTTGGTTTATATGTTTGGATATTTTTGATATGTTGGGGCTATCTTTACCTGTGTACAAATATTTTTATATTTTTAATGACGTAAGAGTATGCAATCGCTACCCGAAAGTGCGCATTGGGTAAACCTCCGACCGAACCTAATACCCTGTAAATTAAACTCGACGGAAAAATCACACTAAGCAAACCATATATGACAGGTGACCTGAGGCGTCGGAGGTTATCTACAAACATATCTTAACTCTCGGGGTAATGTATCACTAAATAGGGAAGAGATAGTGAGTTTGTAAAACAAGCAATGTCTTTTAGTGGCAAGCAAGTTACGTAGGAAGGATAATTTTGCTAAATTTCTGGTCGAACATCGTAAGACAATAATTTTGTGATAAAATTATATTGTCTCTTGTCTCAGAAAATATGAAACTATTGTTGTATATATCAGAATTTAGGTAAAATATAATTAGTAAGTCATTGAAAAGTGTATTAGTAAAAATAATTATTGTATAATAAAAATAATTATAAATTAAAATTATGATTAAAAAAATTATAAAATATAAAATTTAAAATGTGATTAAAGTGTATAATCATATTTTCTAAAAAAAAAAAAAACAAATGATGTGGGCGAACGAAAATAAAAAATGAGACAAATTATGTGGGACAGATGGAGTATTATATTTCTTGTTATGATTAAGTAATGAAAATATGTTGAGCATAGGTCTGTCAATGGGTCGGATTCGATCTGAATTTTGATGTTTTAAATCTGGATCCAACCTCTAATTTTACACTTTTTGGATCTAAATATTGGATTCATCGGAATAAAAATAATATTGACCGGATTTGGTCTTATTGGATCCGAATTCTAATATTCAACAAATTATTTTTGGATATTGGTTTGGATCAATGCATAAAATGTATCAATATTTGTAAAAAATCAACAATTAAGCTCAAGTATATGTATATTTTAATTTAAATATAAATTTTTTTTTTAATTAACAATAACATCTAATACCAAAGAGAATTAAGTTCGGAAGCTAGTTTCGTTACTGATTTCAGCCCTGTAACTAACAATATATTTCTTGGGGGAGGAGATCCTCAGCATCACCCATCCCTGCCCCATTCTCAGCATCATCACACACTCGTATATCTATAAAATCTTTATAGATACACACTGTGTGGGACAGAGAGGGGATGATGCTGAGGATCCCCTTCTATTTTTAAAATTGATGCATTTTTTTTTATAAAAAGTACGATGAATTGTTTTCATTGTTTTCTTAATTTGTTGAATTTTTTTTATAGTTCGAAAATTTTATAAAATTTATTCATGATTTCTAAAGTTTACGTTAAATTTTACCAATCATTATATTTTTATTTATATATATATATATTTAATTTATTTATCTCTTCTTTTTTCCTACTTCTTCACTCTTCTATGTTCTTTATTCTTTCTTTATTTTTTTTAATTTTTTTTTCATTTTCATCTTTTTTTCTTTTTTTTCTTCATTTTGGTTCTTTTTTCATTTATTTTTTCTTATTTTTTTTTTTCATTTTCATCTTCTGTTTTTTTTTTCTTTTTTGATTTTAGTTATTATTTTTCCTTCTTCTCCACACCACATTCTTAGCTCTCCATCATCGTCCGCTAGCATTATCTTCTTCCTCGTTCTTTCCTCTCTTCATTTTGGTTCTTATTTTTCCTTCTTCTCCACACCGCATTTTCAGCTCTCCGCCGTCGTCCGCAAGCATTTTTTGTACTAAGTTCGAACCGCACCCCTCTCTCACTCTCAGCTCTCCACGGTCATTGTCCACTTGGGTAAAAATATTCTTATTCTTGGAAGCCGGAAGAAAAAAAACAAGGGTTTACCATTGAATTTTGTCATTTTTGTTTGTGTATTTTGGGGAGACGGATTCTATATGTAATGTTAGATTGAGTAAAGTTTGATTTATGGGTTCAGTAAAACAAGGAAGAAATTGACGAGATCACACGAGCAAGATTAAATTAAAATTTTTGGGTTGAGTAAAGTTTGATTTCCAGTGCATACCGTCGATTTTGATTATTTGGGTCATCGGAATAGTGTAGGCTAGGGGATCAAGGTTCGTCATCCGTTGATGGAATTACTGGAGATTGACTTACCAGAAGTTGCCGATATTCGGATTCCAAACACTAAATATATAATAAAGCTAAGAATTTTTCAGTAACTTCACAAAAGATATATATATAAATCAATTTATGAACCAACAAAGACGTGACATACAACCACTATTACGTCTTAACATAAGCGATTTTTTTCTGCAATATTTTATAAATCAGGGGTAAATTTTATAAAAAATTTGAAGCAAAAGGATCTTTCAGCAAATTGAAAAACCACATGCTCATTTTTGCCAAAAAATAGTACTCCGTCCCTTTCACATACCATGTCCACATACATGTCACTTTCATTTTTAAAATAATTACACTTTAATCTCATTTTAAACTTTTTAATTTTATTTTTTTTTAAATTTTAATTAAACTAATTAGTTATCTTAATCTTAATTTATAATTATTTATATTATATGATAATTATTTTCACTAATGCGTGAGACAGAAGTAGTATTTATATTGACTTGTCAAGTAGTGGGAATTATATTGATAGCAAACACTAGTGATTTAAAGAAAAAAAATAAAAAGAAGAAAAAGACTAAAATAACAAAAGTAGCATTTTATTAAACCTCACAAGCTTTTAACAGCACATAAGAATTTCCGAACAAGAAGACAATGTAATATTTTGAAGAGGGTAAAGTAGAATGTAATAATCATAATAATAATAATAATAATAATAATACGACATAATATATAATTAATTATACCAATTAAAAATTTTCAGAACACCAACAAAAATTCAATAACCAGAATGGTATATATATATATATATATATGCGTACCGTATGTAAGGATGGATAGTGTTGAATACGTCCCTAAACGTGCCGAATCAAGCCGAGCCCAAAAGGAACAAATCGATTGATCGAATCAATCTACGCAACCGCCGGCATGTCCTTGAGCCAAGGGTCGAGGGGCTTTCCGATCGAGTAGACGATGAATCCGATCTCCCGAAGCTTATTGACGTCGACGACGTTCCTGCCGTCGAAAACAAACGCTGGCTTCTGCATATTGTCGTAAATCTTCTGGAAATCGAGCTTCCGAAACTCTTCCCACTCGGTCAGAATGCAGACGGCGTGCGCGTCTTTCGTCGCCTCGTACGCGTCCCAAACGCACTGCACTTTCTTGACGGCGCTCGGGCTGATCGGCTGGAGGTGGAGCGGGTGGTCCCAGTCAAACTTTTTCATCGACAAATCGCGTTGGATCTGATCCTCGGTGACCTGAGGATCGTAAATTCGGAGCTGGGCGTTGTCGCCAAGCAGGCCTTGGCAGACGTCGATCGCGGGCGTCTCCCGCGTGTCGCCCGTGTCCTTCTTGAAGGCGAACCCGAGGACCGCGATCTTCTTGTTGGAGACGGTGTTGAACATCGACGCGACGACGCGGTTGACGAACCGGGTCTTCTGATAGTCATTGATTTTGATCACCTGTTTCCAGTACTCGGCGACGTCCGGCAAGCCGTTGCACTCGCAGATGTAGACCAAGTTGAGGATGTCCTTCTGGAAGCAGGAGCCGCCGAACCCGACGCTGGCGTTGAGGAACTTCGACCCGATCCGGGTGTCCTTCCCGACGGCGTACGACACTTGGGAGACATCGGCGCCGGTCGCCTCGCAGAGAGCGGACATGGCGTTGACGGACGAGATCCGCTGCGCCAAGAACGCGTTCGCCGCGAGCTTCGACAGCTCGGCCGACCATAAATTGGTTGTGAGAATCCGATCCTCGGGAACCCAGTGGGCGTAGACGTCTTTCAGCGCTTGAACGGCCTTATGGCCCCCCGGCGTTTCCCGGCCCCCGATGAGGACCCGGTCGGGATTGAAAAGATCCTGAATCGCCGTCCCCTCCGCGAGGAATTCCGGGTTCGATAAAATCTGGTAGTTGATCCCCTTGCTGTTGTGGGTCAGGATTTTTTCGATGGCCTCGGCGGTTTTGACAGGGACGGTCGACTTTTCGACGACGATCTTGTCGGATTTGGAAACATCGGCGATCATACGGGCAGCGCTCTCCCAGTAGGTCAAGTCTGCGGCTTTTCCGGCTCCGAGGCCTCGGGTTTTGGTCGGGGTGTTGACGGAGACGAAGACGATGTCTGCCTCAGCGACGTGTTTCTCGACGTCGGTGCTGAAGAATAAGTTCTTGCCGCGGCATTGCTTAACGACCTCGTCGAGGCGGGGCTCGTAGATGGGGAGCTGATCGCTGTTCCAGGCCGCGATTCGAGGGACGGAGATATCGACAACTGCGACTTCAATTTTGGGACATTTGAGAGCAATCACGGCCATCGTCGGGCCTCCGACGTACCCGGCTCCGATGCAGCAAATCTTCACCATTTTCAGTCTCCTGAAAAATTTGCACATAAATTGCTCAAAGTTCTGCGTAAGACTTATAAATCAAACAGTAAGACATCCCTACTTAGGAATTCGACCCCATTACTGTGAAAAAAAAAATATTGCTCAAAATTCTGATCTAAATATATTCAATGAAAATTGATATAGAATACACATATTTGAATAACACAATATATAATTCTATGTAGCAAATATATCCTGCAAATTATAATTTGACTTCAAACCAAAAGTAATATGATCAAATTAGCAAATTTTCATAAAGAAAATAGCAAACCATTACACAATATATATAGTATATTATATAACACATTATCCATTTGTCTTATAACGATTTGCTAACTGTTTCAACTTAATGTGATACCTTAGTAATGTGCTATATATTGTGTGATGATTTGCTAATTTATTCGCCGCCAATGTTCGGACAGCGTTACATAACAATCAACCTCTAAAATACTATGAACGAACAATTAGATCACAACTATTTTAATAGATAGATAATCAAATTTAATCGGGCTCAAAATGTGACAAATAATTTTCCTCATTTTCACATTCTGACTATTACTCTTATATGAATATTATTAATATTCTTATTTTTTCATTTTCTGTCATTGTCATTAGCTAAACTTATACACAAACTATTTATAATAAAACAATTTACTTACCATATAATTACATTTATTTTAACGAATAATAACCAAATTTCTACTGCTTGTTTCTACTTACTTCAATATTTTTGATTAATTATTTCATAAGTTTTTATAATAACCCACTTTACCTCTTTACCTTTACCTTGTGTTTACTTGTGCATCTTTGATTTTGGTTTTACTATTTCAATAATTCTTTTATCATGTAAACATCAAATCAAACATCTATTTTTCATTTATTATACTCCCTCCATCCCATAACAAAGTATCCATTTTTCCATTTTAGTCCGTCCCATAACAAAGTATCTATTTTCCTTTTTTAGTAACTGTACTGTCTAACTAACATTACAAATACCCTTACAACTTACAATATATTACACAAATGTCATTACCTTTATATCACACATACTAATAAGGTTATTTTAGTCATTTTTACTTTATTCCTATTGTATCCCAATATAATACTAATATTTCTAAAACTACGTGCAAAAAGAAAATTGATATTTACTTCTGGGACGGAGGGAGTATTACACTAAAATTTAATTTTATATTTAAAATATAACGTCAAACAACTATAGTAATTCAAAATTTTACAATTCAAAACCAAAATTTCACAAATAAAGTAAAACCGGAATTGCAACTATTGACAAGTATGTTTTCAATAGCAAATGTTCTTCAAATCATTTAACAACTTTAAAAAGTTTGGATTTGTTCATAATAGATTTGATTAGTTCAACAAGTGATAACGATGCTAATGAGAATTCAAAAGCAATCTATGATGAAATTTCTATGTTTCTACTTGCAGGAGCTGTAAATCGTAATTCAATAACAATATCAATAAATGCAATCCCGAATCTGCCCTAATAAATGAAGCACAAATTCATACACTACTCTCCAAATCAGATCTAATAAATGAAGCACAATTCACATACTACTATTCGAATCAGATCTGAGCTGAAACTCGAGAAATCATAAACTACTCCAAATCGAAGATCCAAAGCCAAATCCAATCGCAATTGATCACACACTACTGATTAGATACAATTCTTCACCCGATCTATGATCATATTTCACAAAATTCAAGCAGATCCAACACAATTACCCCCAAACAACACAAAATCAACGAATGAAATGAGAAAAACGAAAGATCAAATCAACTGGAAACGAATCTAGTACTGCAAAACAGAAATTAAACCACGCAATTCCAATATTTTCCCCTAATTCACCACCAAATTAATCCAAAAAAAATTAGACACAAAGAAACTTAACCACAAATCCAGATCTGCCGACACAGAGCAGCATCCCCATCCATAAACACAAAATACGAAAGCACCTGAAATTTAAAAACGAATTACCTCAGAATCGCACTTGTAAACAATCCGCTGCGAGTGAATGGGCGTTGAGAAGAGAATGTGCGAGCTCAAACATCACCATGGAAGATTCGTTTAAATAGTCGAAACGACATCTCGCCCCACCCCGCGCTCGTCGCGGCCGGGTCGATGATGAAAAGACAATTTTACCCTCCCAACGCCTTTCATAATTATTAATGCAAATTTTGTATTGAAAATAATAAATGATATGAGTATGTAATAAATATAAGTGTGGAAGCGAAGCAAACACACACTGTTAATTAATTAAATTAATTAATAAATTAATATATAATATACGTTAATAAATAAGTGTAAGGGAGGAGCGGGGCCCACGTGTTTTGAGTAATCTCTAAGCCATTTTTCATCAAACGAAGCGAAACGTGATTCACACTTTTTATTTATTTAAGATTAGATTAAGTTTTAGAAAAAATTGATAATAGTAATATAAATTATTACTTTCTCCAACTACAAAAAATATAAAAATATATATATATATATATATTTAATGAGCTGTGCGAAATTTTTTTGAATAAATTGAATGAATAGAACATTGGTATGTTATCCCAAAATTATTGTAGAAAAAATTATTACTCAACAAAAGAGGAGGCAGCCCAACCGTTCGGCCCATAAATAAAGATAAATTGAGGCCCAAATTGAGATGATATTTAAATGATTGTTCTTTTAACAGAACTCCCTCCTCCGTCCCCACGTAATTTGTCCATATTTTCTATTTTCGTCTGTCCTACATAATTTGTCTAATTTTTTCTGAAAATATAATTATACACTTTAATCTCATTTTAAATTTTAAATTTTATAATTTTTTTAATCTTAATTAAACTATTTAGTTATCTTAATTTTAATCCACAATTATTTTTATTATACGATAATTATTTTTATTAATACATTTTTTAATTACTTACTAATTATATTTTACCTAAATTTTCGTATCTACAGGCTCATAATACATGGGACGGAAGGAGTAATAAATTGTGGATAAAATTAAAATCTTAATTATCTATATTAAATTCAACATGTGTGCTGACGCAACAAAATTAATTTAGATAATTATATTAATTAATAGAGTAAAACAAAATATTGAATTTATAAGCATTCAATCCATCACTAAAGTAGAATGTTGAAATGTATAAAATATATGTAATACTTCCAACGTCCCACGTACCATGTCACTTTCATTTTTTGAAAAATGATTGCACACTTTAATCTCATTTTAAACTTTTTAATTTTATTTTATTTTTAAATTTTAATTAAACTAATTAGTTATCTTAATTTTAATTTATAATTATTTATATGATAGGATAATTATTTTCAATAATACATTTTTTAATTATCTACTAATTACACCCCTCCTAAAATACCATGTCTACAGCATAGCAGACACGATATGTGGTACGTGGGACAGAGGAAGTAATTTTTAATGTAAATAGAAAATACATATTTTTGTAGACAAATAAAAAATAAATAAAAAATAAAAAGAAAAGTCATATATTTCATAGGGAAAGAGAGCAATGTGATATATATACTTTCACTTTCATTTTTAGTCTGGACTATTAAATTTACTCTATTACTAATTTTGGTAAAGTCAACAAATTCGTTATCCTTCATTCAACACTTATTTTTACTACATTTATTATATTTTCTCTACTCATTTCTATCTAAATTTATAAAAATACTAGTATCTATCTTTTTATTTTTATCATTTTTTAAATTTTTTTTTTTTTTAAATCTCCACTGCGAACCCAAATATTCTAAATTTAGTGGATGGATTGAGTAATTCACATAAAAAAAATAATAAATCTAGACATCATTTGATATACTTAACCAATGCGTTGGTCGAGCAAACTTTGGTTGAAGCAACCATAGCAACTTTCTAGCGGTATGGGTAGTGAACTTGTAACCGTGGAGTCATGAGTTCAAACTTCAATGCTTTCAAGTCTACCTGTTATATATGATTTATTTAGTATGACTTGTCTTGTCGTACATAGTTTGCAAGTATTAAGTTCGATTTAGGGTTTACCCAATACGCACTTTCAGATAGTGGGTGTGGATTCTCATCTTATAAAATAATAATAATAGTGATCATCAATACATGCTTAGTACTCAGCCGATGATTGGACATACAGCGATCGAGAAAAGAAAGATTTAGAGTATGTTTCTCCAAACCCACTATGCAATTACTGTGCACAGTGGTTTGGGCACCAAATCAGGCTCATTGACTATAGGGTGTAAGCTTAGGATGCAGAGCTCAGTGGTTCTGTTATTATTATTATTTTTTCATGGCTGTGCAAAAATGTGACAAATTAATTTTTCTAATTATTTTAATAAAATATATACAATATACATGTTATTTTTATAAAGAATAAAATTTTATATAATATAAATAAATAAAAATATATAAATATTTATTTATGATCAATATAAATTAATACTCAAATAATACTATTTTTAATTTTATAAATTTAATTTAATATATATTTACATCATTATTTTTATTAACTATCACATCAATACAAATTAAAATTCTCAAATCTAAACCAAACCTACAATCTCAAAGGAACACAAAAATCCAAACTTATTGAAAAATTCAAATTCAATCCAAATCTAGACTTAATTTTTTAAAACTATCTCAAAAGAAACACACCATTTGAGTTTGACTATTTTATTTATTTAAATAATATTTAAATATATTAATTTGAAAAAAACCTAATGCTATATTTTTATTAAAAATTATACAAAATTGAATAATAATAATTTTTTGTTTCAAACTAAGATCACACAAATTCTGATTTTCACTAATTTTTATTAATTTCAATTACTTTTTGTACTACATATATTTAGAAAATAAGATAGATAGTAATAAAAAAAAATAGAGAAGGGTTGGGGGCAAGCCCCTCTCGAGATTGTCGGTCCGTGAATTCAAATTTCAAATAATGTAATGATCCGGTGGTCTAGGTGAACTCATAATGTGAATTATTTTATCGGATTTAGTTTGCAGATTTTTAATTTCAATCTAAATTTACTCAAAGCGTATTCAAAAAATAGTCAGTCTCTCACCTTATAATAATAATAATAATAATAATAATAATAATACTACAATTATCTAGATGTGTGATTTATTTTTTTACATAAATATATAGATATGTAGATATTATAAAAGTAATAAATATGTGTATTATATTATTATTTTTTTTAAATGTGTTAAAAAAAAAATTACAAAAGAAACAAATCCTATATTCTCACATTAGGCTCTACATGGTGGTCTTACCTTTGCTATCGAATTTTTGGGTTCGTAATATGTCACTTTCTTTGTAAATAAATACTCTCTCCATCCCACGTAATTTGTTCCTATTTTTTATTTTTCTCCATCCCACGTAACTTGTCCTTTCTATTTTTGAAAATATAATTATGCATTTTAATCGCATTTTAAATTTTAAATTTTATAATTTTCTTAATTTTAATTAAACTATTTACTTATCTTAATTTTAATTTATAATTATTTTTACTAATACACTTACTAATATTTTACCTAAATTCTCTTTTCTACGGTAATACACCTATATTACATGGGAAACTTCAAATTTAATTTCCACATTAACTTCCGTCTCGATTAATCAAACATTAAAATTATGCAATTATTAACAGTACGGCTTTCCTCGTAACATATTTTACCAATTAATAACTTTGTGGGCTTGTACATATTACTTCCTTCGTGCTTTTAATAATTTGATTTTTTTTTTATAATAATAAGCTACAAATAATAATGAACACAATTTATTACTATAGATCACACAATTTAAGATAAAAAATTACGTTATCAAAAAAAAAAAAAAAAAAAAGATAAAAATTAATTACAAATCGATTTTTTACATTAGGGAGCTAAGAAGAAATTTGGACATAGTCCATCTATGCAAAGCCCTACCGGAAACATCGTAAAAGACTACCTCGACGTCTGATGAGTCGAGGGTTACGGACATGAATCCTTGTCCGTCGTAAAAGAATTTGACGACTCCAACGTTGGATTTGTCCATTTCCCCTCTCCATGCCTTGGACCCTCCTCCGCTTGTAAGAAATTGTATCGGGCTATATGTAAAATAAAATTCATTACGTTTCGACTACTTAGTAAATTCATATAAATATGCATTCATCGTACCTTTGATTGTCGGAAATTTGTTGAAGGCAATGATCATGGCCGTTGATGTAAAAGTCCACCCCATTGGCCTGCGATAAACATATATGAGTGTTTTGTCATTTATTTTTAATCAAAATATTATTTTTCTTGTTCCTTAACAATTTATTCATTTTTTTATTTTGATCCGTTTTATTTTTATTTCTATTACATCCCAATATAATACTAATATTATATTTTTAAAACTTGATGCAAAAAGTAAATAGATATGGAAGGGAGTATTATTTATTTGTATTGTTCTCAATAAAAATATACTCTCTCAATCCAATTTTTATTGTCCTAAAATATATTTGTACGATTTTTTAGATAATTATTTTTTGTTATGAATTGACAAATTTGCCCTTAATTGTAAGGTAAAAAACTAAAAGTAATAAATGAATGAATGGTAAAAATATAAAATTTGTGTTATATTTTATAAATTAAAACTAATAGTATATTTCTTTTACAAATTTTTCTTATTTTTTTTATTTAGAACGTATAACAATTATTGTTCTATTTTTTTTTAAACATAAATATTTATTTTTTACCTTTAATTCATTTAACACTATTTAATCTCAAATATACTTTAGAATAATAAAAATTAGTTGAACATGAGTATTAAATATTATTGAAATATAAAATTAAACTTTCAAAACATAATTCAGGTTGAAAAGAAAAGCTGAGAAGGGTTTTCAGTTTGTCTCTTTACACTATTTCAATACATTGAGGGTGTGTTTGTTCGGGGGTTTGGATTTTGGATTTTGACTTGAATTTGAGTAGTAAAAATTTTGAATTTGAATAGTTGTATAATGTGATATAAATAGTTGTTGATGTGTTATTTTGAATGTAAAATTGATTTTTAGTATAATATAAAAAATAAAAATAAGTGTTTAATTTGATATTTTTTAAGAAAAAAAAATGAATAGTATATGCTCCAACAGTCTATATCAATCCAGAGGGAAATATTATTTCTAAAAAAAATCAAAAGTTATTTAATCAAATTTTTATTGTTTATATTACCCAATAAATTAATTTTATATTAAAATAATGCACCAATTATTTCAATTTAAAATAAAAATTAATTTTATATTAGAATTCTTAAACTAATTATAAACCAATTTTCCTAATAATAATAATAATAAAATTATTACCCGAAGAATAGGAAGAAGCTGGTCCACGAGCTCCCGGGTGTCGCCATGATGGCTAATGCTCCGTATGGCGTGATGCCCTATGACAATCCTCCACTTTGCTTTCGATTCCTTCAATGCCGTCTCAACATCCTATCCATAATGCATTATTCAATTCAGCAAATTATTCCAATTCAGATTTTAGACTAAATAAATCACAATCAACAATCAGCTCCAACTTCCTTACACGGAATCAATACAAGAACAATCAATTTCCAATAAAAAAAATAAAAAAAGATATATATATATATATATATATACAAGATCAATCAACAAAAATCTTTCAAAATTTAACTAACCTGTAATAAATTGGCGACGTACGACTTCACAGGCAACACACCTCGCCAGTCATACGTATGATCCCCTGGATTCGTGAAATATTCTTCCACCATGGGAGTTGTGTCCACAAAGAACAGCTCAGCAATCTCTGAAGAATCGAAATTCACTTATTTTCAGACATAATCGGATCTGCTTATGAGGTAATAATAAAGCAACTCACCTGTATTAACCACGAAGGACCTTAAACAAAGCCACCTGCTGTCGATCTTCCTCAGATACGAACTGAGCTGAGCCACCGCGTTGCCTCTGTAATCATGGTTTCCTAACACTGAAATTCAACGCACATAGCAGATTTTAAGAATTAGGCGACGGTTGAGTTTTGTCCGAGCAGTTTTCTGTAAGGAATTTTAACGCTCACCGCTGTACCACTGCTTGTGGAGGCTTCTGGAAGTGTAAACGTTGCTGAAGGAATCCAGAAAGTTCGGATCGTCTTCTCCGTGCAGTCCATTGTCATAGAAATTGTCGCCGGTCGACACGACAAAGTCGATGTCCAAATCCTCTGCAATTTTCCCCATCTACAGACATCGTCATCGACTCCAAAATCAGACAAACAATCTCAACGTCGAATTACGCAAAAACCAGTAGATGAAAGGAAAGGAAAGGAAAGGAAATCATCAAACCTGGTGAGAAACGAGCGATTGGTTATAATGTCCTTTCCTTCCCCAATCTCCGACAACCAAAAACGCGACGCTTCCGCCGCCTCCTCTCGCCGGATGTTCGAACCTCGGAAGCTCCGCTGCAACGTTCTTACAAACGCAGAGAATAGTGCACACAAACGTAAGAAGGAGAACCATGGCGGCGCTTCTAGAACCTTCCATGGCTCTCTGAAATTACGAAATAAAGAGAAGTGAAGAAGGGGAAGGGTATACCGTATATATATATATATATATGAAGGGAGGTGAGATATTAAATCACAGTAATTAATTAACACTAATGACGATGATTAGGGTTTGGGTTAAAATGGACGGCAGTGATTAAGAACAACGTGCGGTCCAGATCGTCCGGTGATATATCCCGCAGAATAAGGAATATGCTGAACTTGGTGATTCGGATTCCGTTGGATATTCGCTCCTGCTCGACAGACAACTATTTGATAGATCATAGTCGTTGCAAATTTAAATACGAAAATAATAATGTTAGTATAATATTGAATGAAATGAAAAAGAGATTTAATGCACTATTATTTATTCGATTTGATGGTTTGGTTTGAAAAGGTATTTTTATATATATATATATCTATATTGAATAAAAATAAATATATTATCTAACTATTTTAAAGGATAAAGATAACTATTATGATAATGAAATCTATTTGATATCACAATCAAATAACGAATAATTGACATCTAATTATAATACTGTTATAGATAACGTTTTTTTTTTTTTTTATGGTATTATTTTTTAGTGTATTATGAATAAATTTTTGACCAAACCTAATAATTTATAAATTAAGTCTGACACGACAAATGACACCAAGTAAATCATATGTGACAGATAAAATTCAAAATCATCGAAAATTTAAACTTATGAATTGTTGAATCATCATGGTTAATAATCATTATTTTAGCGAGCTCGGTTAACGGGTTTAGAGCCCTATTGAAGAAAGTTCACCTTTCGAAAATGATAGGGGAAAGTATTATATATTCCATATATATACAAATGCAAAACAAGAAGACTCTAACCCTAACAACATAACTAATTATTGGACTTCTAAACTATCAATATAAATTAAAAAAAAAAAAAAAATGCACCAAGAGCCCATCAAGGATACGCCCAAAATCGAAAATGTCTTCTTCTTCATTGTTATATCACGTTCATGTTCTTCATCAACCTCTGAAATTGAGGTGAAGCTGTCAACAACCTTTTGAAAGATCAATAGTTAACACCCTTCCCTCGGACTAAGCGTATCTTTACATAGTTTGATCCGAAGATTTTTAAATACTGATCCACACAAAATTTTAGTGAAAATATCCGTAGTTTGAACTATGCTCCTCATATGAATCAAAGAGATGAATCATTGTAGAAAGTAATGGCGTACCAAATGACATGATATTTTAATGTCCTTTGTTCTCTCATGAAGGATCGAATTTCTTGCAATATGAAGTGTGATAGTTAAAAATCGCATGCGTTTTATGTTCATATCATATGCGATATTTGAGTGATTTTGATTGGATTCAGCTGAATTTTTCTTCTTTTTTTTTTGTCAATTATGCCAAATTTGATATTTGCCCTCTGCACACAGCGAATAAATAGCTGGATTTTTCTTTCTTTTTTTGGTCAATTATGTCAAATTTGATATTTGCCCTCTGCACACAGCAAATAAACAATTCGCATATAAATTAGGTAGAATTCAATCAAAATCACTCAAATATCGCATATGATATGAACATAAAACGCATGCGATTTCTAACTATCAATTCTCCCCACACCTAGATCATGCTTGCCCTCAAGCATAGATTCGAAATAAGCCAAAGAAATCACCAACAACTCGATATGACAAGAGGATCCAACACAACCAATTCAATCCGAAATTAATTAAAGACCCAAAAGCCCATCTACAAAATAATTAGGGCAAAAATTAAATAAAAAGGAGGGGAAACACGTTTTGACGCAGAGAACGGCCGAAGCAAATACGCACAAGAGCAGGAGACTGACAGATTCATAGATCGCGCAGAGCAAATCGACAGAGAAGATTTTCCCCTCCCACTATGATTTTATATGTCTCTTTTGTTCTTTATTATTTGATTATAGAGTAGATATTTTTCTGGTTTGAGGGGTGATACTTGATTTTCTTTATAAAAGTTATTTTTTATTATCAATATTTGTCTAATCCTGAGAATAACGTTTGTGATTGTTAAATTGATTGAATATTTTGGTACCGATATTTGAATTATTATGATAATCCAAAGTCAATTCAGGTAGGATATCCGTAATCGTATTCGCACTTGAATAGGTGACAACCGGGTTGAATAGTTCCTTCCCGGGAGTTAGATAATCAAATCTAATTGCTCTTCTTAGGTAGTAATTGTTTTGAATTGGGTTTTTCTAGATTAAAATACGGTTGGACAATATTCTTATAGGCGCACCAAGGTTTATTTGCTTAATTAGGGGTAGTTAATGGTCGTACCTTAATTACCTACACTGTATGGAAAAATTGGTTGTCAGAGCTTATTGATAACTATAACTAATTTATTGATACTTTAATAAGAATTAATTTTATTAAATTAATGATAAAACATAAGTGTCATAACTGCATCATCCCTTGAGCTGGACATCCCCTTATAGTCGGTTCCCATTTAATTTAATTGCTTTGCTATTTTATTTTCATTAGATAATAAAAGAAAATCTCCCGTTTATTTACTGCATTAGAACACGAAAGAGTGAATCACACAATCCCTGTGGAGACGATCCCTTCCCCTGTATTACATTAAATTGTGATCACGGATTAGGTGAAATATTTGATTGACCGCGCGACAGGTCAAAGTGTATACTGATTATCACAATAAAACAGGATATGTAGTAAAATAGACACGCATTGAGTATGTAAAAAATTCAGAGCAATTCACACGTTGTAGTGCACATACTTTTGTATTCGGGTTTAGTAGAGAAAGTACTCAAAGTTGGTTGTTTCTTAGCTTTCCATGAAATGATATTCGACCCAATATATATGCAATACTTCCTATGTGAGAGATGAAGGTCTGCTTATAAATTAGCTTAATTGGTATGTTGCGAAAGCAATATCAGACCTAAAAAAATTAAATATCATAGCCTTCCAAAAAGCCTTCCATATGGAAAATGATCTAAAAGTTTCTCACCAATTGTAGTGGATAATTTTAATCAGATTCCATCTTCATATTCATCGATATGTCAAAAATGTATTGCCTTTGTGATAGAACCAGTCTATCCTTTAACTATATAAGTTCTATCCTTATATTGCAATTTGTTTCTCCCAAATCTTTGATAGTAAAAGCATCGTGCAAGAACATCTTGCCTTCATGAATAAAATTGGGAGATGAGTCTATCAAAAGAATGTCATCGACATAGACTATCAATATCAAAAGATGCCCCCCAACATGCTTTATGAAGAAGCAATGGTCATGAGTAGATTGGGTAAACCCAAATTGAACGACTTTCTCAGCAAGAATTTTATACCACACAAGAGGTGCTTGTTTGAGTTCATAAAGAAATTTCTTTAGTTTACATGTCTGTCCTAGTTCACTGTACTGGTGGTATTATTAATATCCACTTATTAGATATTCCAACCCTTTGAAACATCTACGGCAAGCACAAGTCTTACTGTCACATTTTTTGTCGCTGGTGCAAAACACTCATCATAATCGATCCCGTGGACTTAAATATAGCCCTTTGTAACCAACTTTGAATCTACTTATGAATCCATCTTTGTTCCGCTCTATCCTATAAATCCACTTGTTTCTTATTCCCTTCATTTATTTGACTAGATAAGATAATTTCCAGATTCATTAGTTTTTAGAGTCTTTAACCAAAAAATAAAATAAAATATATCATTGAATAGTGATGGTTATTGTGTTAAATTTTAAAATTCAATACAATGATGACAATATATTGTGAGTAATATGAACGAAACTATATAGGGCTCGAAGATAGCTGTCCCCAAACCCCCCCAATATCTATAGAATATAAAAAAATCTATAATTTTATGTATTCTTTTATGAATTTGTTCTCCACACATCCAATTTTTATATTTTTAGTGAAAATATCAAAATTTATGTAGTTTTATTGAATTTTTTTCCCAAAAGTTTATCCTTCATCCAAACTTTTATTATTATTATTTTTCTTCTTTACCCAGTTACGTCAAAAAAATAAATAAATAAATAAATTGTTGAATCAAATATTATAAAACGGTACAAAATTCACATATATTTTACGATTGCGTCAAATTCTTCATACTTCAAATTTAGTCTGATTTTATCGTAACTTCGTAAACTCTACATCAAGATACAAAATTCTAAAATTTAGTTGGATCCAAAAGTAAAACATGCAATATATTTGAATATATAAATATAACAGTAAAGATAAATGAATAAATGAATTAAACCATGTAAACTATAAATAGAAACATATTGTTTAAATAAAACAGTACTAAATAAAAAATAGAACTATTTAGGTATAATTGAGAAAGTACATTTTCATTCAATGTATGAAGCTCTAAAACATTAACGTTATTTTCTAAAAAAATAAAAAGTATATATATATACATATATCAAACACTTAAAGCTCTATTTATTTGAAAAATAGTATTTATATTTTTGGCGCCCGTTATTTAAAAATAGTATTTTTTATTTTTATTGATTTATTTTTTGAAATATCACATTCAATCCAATTAGTATTACATATGACAAAACATCTATCAAATTCGCTTTATACTATTCTTAAAAAGTTTCAAAAAAGCTCTGTATATATAATCCATTAGCAAAGAAAACATCTACAAAATCAAAAAAAAATCTGAAAAAGAACAACAAAATATACCAAAAGAATCTAAAGAGATTTCAAAGTGAAATAAGTAGATATCCATTTTTCACTAATTTCACTTTCCATTTTTTCTCAAAACAATATCTCATTTTCGATGCTCTTCATCAGCCATTAATTTTTGTCACATTTAAACCAAAATAGTAAAGCAAAAATAAAAATAAAATTAAGTGAAAGAAACCCAAAAAAACCTTACAACCTACGTTAGTACATTCCAACATTTATAATATGTCGAGTTTAAGATAAGCCAGCATTCATTTATAAGAGACCTCTATTAATATCAGAATTCTTCACACAAAATTTCCATAGAAGATCTAAATAAAAATTCCTCCTAAACCCGTAAGAATGGTTCCAGAAATCCGAAACCTTGTTCTCGCATGGTTTTTGCTGATTCCTACGAGTTTTTTCAATGTTCGATTGGCGAGCAGTTCGGAAAATAGTTTCAAAATCCTACACTATAGTGGTGCTAAGAAGAGCCATTCTTCGATCGCCTTTTTGGCCGTGGGAGATTGGGGAAGAAGGGGTAATTTTAATCAGTCAGCAGTGGCAAAACAGGTATCAGAGTTTTACTATTAGCCCGAAACTAATTATCGAAATCAATGAGTAGTTATTTGCGCAATCAAAATAAGTATAGCATTAAAAAAGAAAAAAAAGGACATACCGTGTGGATATAATCCGTCCTGATTTGGGTGTTGCAGATGGGGAAGATTGGGGAGCAGCTCGGAATCGACCTTGTGATCTCCACAGGGGACAATTTCTACGACGAGGGATTGAAAAGTGTCAAAGATCCGCTCTATAAACAATCATTCACTGATATATACACAGCTAAGAGCCTTCAAAAGCCGTGGTATGCAGGTAGTAAATCATCGTATTTGTATCGACGTAATTAAATTCTCGTTTCTTTTATGTTCTATTCCTAAACTACTGATCAATATCTTTTCCAAATAACAAAAAGTGTTGGGAAATCATGACTATTTGGGGAGCACCGGCGCACAGCTCAGTAAAGAACTTAGGCGCGCTGACAAACGGTGGCATTGCGAAAGAAATTTCCTTGTGAAAGTAAAAGGTATGTATGTATATATGCATATAGAACTGTTAAACGAATTAAATAGCTCGCGAGCCAAGTTCGACTCAGCTGGTTAACAACTCTAGCCGAGCTTGAGCTCGACTCGCGAGTAGCTAAATTGAACTAATTAGTGATAATATATTTATATTATTTATATATTAATATAATATATACATATATAATTTTTTATATTAAAATTTTATTATTAAAATTTGAATATTTTATTATAAAAAAATTGTGAATAAAATTAAATATATTGAATTTATATATTAAAAATATATAGAATATGTATAAAATTCAAGCCGAGCTCAGAGTTCAAATTTTACAAGCCGAACTTGAGCTAGTATTTTGATTCGAATTCTTAACGAGCCGAATTGAGCCTGTACCATTAACAAGTTCGATTTGAGCTCGAAAAATCGATATTCGAGCTCGCTCGACTCATTTAATAGCTCTATATTATATATTTCAGCATATAAGATGACTCGAACAGAGTTACTTTATCATTTATGACTATATGATCAATCCCCTAGGACTCGTGGATTTCATTTTCGTTGACACTACTCCTTTCGTCGACAAATACTTCAAGAATCCTAAGAAACAGAAATTCGATTGGAGTGGTGTTCTACCAAGAGACAAGTATATCTCTGCTGTTAAAGAAGTAAGCCTATTTTACAGTCATATCATATATGCATACACATGGCAGCCATAGCCAAATTGCTTGTAGTTTTAAAGCAAAATTGTTTATGATTCAGAGTCTGGATTCAACGCTGAGAAAATCAAAGGCTACCTGGAAGATTGTGATCGCACACCATACGATCAGAAGCATAGGCCATCATGGCGACACTCTGGAAGTCGTCGAGCAGATTCTCCCAATCCTTGAGGTACTGAAACCACAATTGCAAAACAAAAATTAGGTTAAAATTCATCAGTAACGAATTAACAGAGAAACATGTGCAGAAAAATAAGGTGCATATGTACATCAATGGACATGACCACTGCTTGGAGCACCTAAGCAACGCAGACAGGTTCGTTTATGGAGTTGCTGATTGCTGTAATCGTGAATTTACGAATTCGGTTTTAAGGTTTTTGGAAACATACCTCTTTGTCGATCGATGCAGAAAACTGCAATTCCTGACGAGCGGAGGCGGCTCGAAGGCTTGGAAGAAGGATATCCATTACGGCGTGCACAATGATAGCCTGCGTTTCTACTACGACGGCCAGGGCTTCCTGGCGGTGAAGCTCACGAGGAAATCGGCAAAAATGGAGTTCTACGACGTTGCAGGGAAAGTTCTCCATCGTATGGATCTCAAACCGTAAAATCCCTAATATAATGATAGTAACAGAAATCGAGAAACGGAACGACGTTGTGTAACCCTAGTTTGGTGAAATTCAGCTTCTGAAAAATCGAAACAGAATCGAAATTGAGTGCGGAATATTTGGTTGTGTGATTCATGATGCTAACGCTAATAATAACGAACACGTTATGTGCTTCTTCCCGATTTGAGAAAGACATTCGAAGATACAGCGCAGAATAAGGAAATTCCGATGTTAAAAAAGCCTACCTGTCGAAATTCATATCCAAATCCCATCGCCGCCATTGTTGAATGCTTAGAAAGCTTTATTTGGTCCATAAACCTCTTAGAAGTTTAAATTAATGAAACTAATATATATATATTCGAATCCTTATTATTCTAACTAAGAACATTATGTCCACTGCATAAACCACAGTGAGTGTATATACAAGTAAAATCAATACAACAAAATGCATAGAGAAGAAGAAACTTCATCATCGTTAAACCTTATCATTCACATCTTATGCATCATCCCTTCCCATTCCCAGAAACAATCAGAATCAATCAAGGCTAATTCAAAACGAAATGGTACCTCGAATCGACGTAGCTCTCGACGTCCCACAGGAACGACCCGAAAGTGACAGCTTCGAGAACGAGCCTCCTCAAACCGCCAAAGCTAAGCTTAACAAGCTCGTCCTTCGAAGAATCGACGCCCCCTACGGGATTCATAGGTATCTCAGCTTTACCAAACAGCGCCTCCGTGTGGCTCTCGATTATGCTAATCGCCTCCTTCGATCTGATCGTCGCGTATCTCTGGAGCGTCTCCCCGTCGAACGCCATGACGTACGTCCGTAGTCTCGAAGTCGTTATTCCCGAATACCCCGCCTCGCCGGTGCTAGCAGACCATGACTGGACGCCGGGGTGGGGGTGGGGGTGGGGTTCGAATTTCTTCGAAGAATCCATGGCAGAGGTTCCGTCCTCGAATTTTCGGATGTTGGTTTCTCGATCATCGATTCCTTGTGGTAGAGTTTTCATGCTCTTCTCAAGCTGGAATCTTTGGTCGACGCGTTTGAGGAAATAGCCGTACATTACGGAGGCTGCATAGACCTGGCCGACTCTCATTTTGCTGATTTGCGCCACCGTGTTGGAATTGCCCGGTCGGTTTCCGAGAACGAGCGTCAGGTGGTTCTGAATCATCTCGTAAGCCTCGGGGGAATGGACACGCTCGAGTTTATCTTCTTGCCCGGGAGATGTGGAGGTAACGTCGGGAACCAAACGCACGTCGGCATCCATGAATTTCTGTACCACCAATGCGTAAAGCATCTCTTGCAACGCTCTGTTTCTTTCGTTGGCTTTAACCTCCTCGATTCTCCTGTGAGACAAAAACAATCACATGTTAGACTGAGTTTGGATTTGTTCTTGTTTAAAAATACAAATATGAAATATATATATGCATATTCACATAATATAAACAATATATGGACTCTATTCGTTCACATATATAAAGTCAATAATTCAACACAATATACTCCCTCCCTCGACAAACTATCCATTTTTCCACTTTGGTCCGTCCATAACAAAGTATCTAGTGTATTATTTATTTAACATTATAAATATCTTTCCAATTTACAATATTTTATTCCTACAATACTAATAAGGTAATTTAGTTATTTCTACTTTATTTTTACGATATAATACTAATATTTTTAAAACTCCGTGCAAAAAACAAACGGATACATAGATATGGAATGGAGAGAGTATTATACTCTCCGTCCCAAACACCCTACAATATTTCCGAAATAAAAAATAATTAACTATACTTAATTCCTAATAAAGATACCTCACATTTTGGGTGTGAGTTCTTCCACAAATTCCCAAGAACATATTTTTCCTACACTCATTATTTTCCTATACCTCATGGAAAAAAAATATTCTTCAAACAATTTCACTAAACAGACACACATCATATGACCCAAATAAACAAATAAATAGACCTAATTTAATTCTCAAATTATCCTATTTAATATTACCTATCTAAATTACCATGTTTGGGAAGAAAAAACTATTTTTTATATTATCAATACAATTTCTCATACCTCATATCTAAAAAGTATCTCAAACTAAAACAACGAACAAACAAACACTTTGTTCAAGCACATTTTAATTTAATTGCACTCGACCATCAAACATTGCAATTTGCAAACGGTAAGGTGTATGTATTACTAACCTGTATAACACAAGATCGGTACCAGATACAGATGACTCTTCCTTCCCTTGTTCAGCAACGTCGCGGTCAGTCTGGAGCTGTTCAAGCTGCTGGTCTATGGCAGCAGGTACAAGATGCGGATGGCTTACTAGTATTTGCGAAAGGAATTGGCCGAATGGAGATTCGAGCTTAAGGGGGGCAATAGGAGCATCTGAATTGCCGGAATCAGAAGGTTCTAGAGAAGCTCGAATGGCTGAGTGCCTTCTGCTCGAGAGGCCAACTTTTCTGAGGCAAATCTTGGCACGAGGAAATTGCCTTGCCTGCAAAGCACCACAATATAAAGAATTGAATTAATCAGAATAATTAAAAATTTAAATTTGCACTATTATATGAACATGTTGAAATGTAATACTCTCTCCGTCCCAAACACTGTGCAACATTTGTGTTTGGCACAAGAATTTAGAATTTAGGTGGAGAGTATTAAGTATGGTAATTTGAGATAATTTGGATATTAAGTAACGTGATTGGAGAGAAAAATGATTATTTATTTTTTTATTTGAGCTACGTGATGAGATAAAGTGAAGTATATATTAATATATGTATATAAATATTATTAATTATTTTTAAATTTGAAAATGTTGCAGTGAGTTTGGGACAAACAAAATAGAAAATATTGCAGGGTGTTTGGGACGGAGAGAGTACTATTTTACTAAGATGAATATTGTTATGTTCTCATACTTCAATCCATATGGCAATTAAAATTGAGACCACTTATGAAAGGATTAAATACAACGTTAACCCTTCGTCACCGATAAATTCTTTGATTCAATTCTATTTAATATGGTTTTTTTTCTTTTCTCTTTGGTGCTTTTTCCGAAAATACAGAGCAAATTTGGAATGAAAAATGGGTTTATCTTATATATCATTTTATCAGTAGCCCACACTCCACATATGTATGTATATAAACAAATCTAAGTCGTCTTCTAATAATAGTCCATTAGGCCTTAGATATATACTTTCTACCAGTATCAACAAATCATTCACCATTCACTGCAATCTCCCTAATTGTCAATCCGATAAGTAAAATATTCCAGAGCCAACCATAAACAATTATTCCCATTTCATCAAAACAATCCACAATTATATCTTGATATTTTCCTTACAATTCTGTATGTGCATTGATCAAAAAAATTTATAACAGTTTCGAGTTTAATATTAGAAGATCTATGATTATGGGTTCTTGGGTAAGATACCAGATCCTATTTGGAATCCATGGGTGGGATCTGGGATTGAAAACTCAGCCCCCAATATATAATGGCTAAAGTTTTAGCATAAGTTTTGAGTAGTGGCTGTGCAACAGTGTAGGTGAAGATTCACCTAAAATCAGGAAGTGCTTAACATCTTTGACAAAAATAAATTAGCTGTGAGTTTTAATATTGAAAAATCGAAATCGAAAAACAATATAAAGGAACTAAAGAGAACTTCTATTAAAATCGAAAAATTAATAAACACGCACTTTGTGGCTCAGATTTATCAAAGGTCAGCCCCTATTAATAAAGAGGAGTCACATAGTGTGTGTTTGCTAATGTTTCGAACGTGTACATTTTCGTTTTTGGGTCTTTAATGAAAGTTATTTTTCGATCCTAAAACTTACATTAGCAATGGTGCACCAAATACCTAAAATTCTGTAAGGATGTGTTATGTAAGAGTGTATTTGGTGCAGAGAAATGAAGTCAGAAAAATGAAAATAATTGTTTGGTTAAGCAAGAGAATTGAGAATTGAAAATTGAAAATTGAAAAATAAATCATTTCTATGATCTAATTTTATTTCTCTGGCACATGAGAAAGGCAGATAATTGAATATTTATGCAATATATTTATTTATTTGCTTTTTAAAAATTTTTGTAATATTTAGCTTTTTTATTTCTTGAAATTATATTATTTTAATTTTACAAAATGTCATATTTAATTTATTATTTAAGTAAATAATTATTACCATTTAAAAAAAAAAATACATTGGTTGTGTTTGTTTACAGGATTTTGACAATTAACACTATTCATACCAAATTTTCCCCAAAATTATCAAATAGAACCCTGAATTTTTATTTTTTTATATTATCCTAAAAATCAATTTACATTCAAAACATCGTATTAATACTTATTTATATCACATCATTCCAATTCAAATTTTTTATTATTCAAGTATCAACCCAAAATCCACACACCCAAACAAACACACCCTAAATTTTGATCTTACAAAATACAGTAGCTAATTTATTATTTAAATAAAAAAATTTATCAAAGCTATTTATCATAGATTCTAGCTTCTCTTGTCCCAACAATCATTTATTCTTAATCTTCTCTTGTCTGAATAATCATTTTACTCTTAATCGATCCATCCAGCTGCATTTTTTTTTTATATATTTCTCCAATTCATTTTCTCTAAGCCCCTAAGGGTTAACTCATGCTTTTAGATATTCATACCAGATACCTAAGACATATGAAATGACCTACCTACTACACCACACTCAAAATTTATGACGAAATTCATGGTCCCAACTTCCAATAGATGGTTATTCAAGAATCAAGACTATAACCATAGATCCAAAATTAGTACTACAAAATTAGAAAGAACATCAAAGAAGGAGCCATAATCCTGTGACTTCAAATCTTCAATCGAACAACATACAATAGAATTACCTGAATCCAGGCGTTAGAAAGCAGGGGCCTCGAGAAACCCCTGACACCGGGCCGAGCAGCTGAAACACTTCCGATTCCGACTGAAGAAGCCTGAATAGCAGCCGAGGTTTCCATTTCCGATCAACGCAAGAACCAATTCCCAATACACCTGCCGAACAAATCATACAAAACCCTAATTTCAAAAAAAAAAACGCAGAAATTCTTACTACGACGGGAGTAATAAAAAGGAATTCGGATCCAAATACCTTAAGGTCCAAATGACAGTGTATCAGACGTGTTTGATTCAGTACTTCGCATACAAAATTGACTCCAAATCTGTTTGATTTAATACTGTCGCGAGCGTTCGAGAGACACTTGGTATCCGATGCGTGCACGGACACGCCTCCGTCTCCCACGATATTTATACCATTGACTTGGAGATAATTAACCCTTTCGTTTCTCAAAAATTACGAAACATGCCATTCGGAATTCATGGCATGAAAAATACACGTTGTTCTTGTGTTCTCTTGTCAAACTTCATGTAATTTTTATTATTCATTAAAAAAAATAATTATATATTATATTAATAATTAAATTTACATTCAAAATATCAAATTAATACTTATTTATATTATATCATACAATTATTTCAATTCAAATTTTTTTACTTTGTTTAGATAGAGATTTTTAGAGGTTTTTTGAATTTTGGAAGTTTTAAAAAAATGTAAACAATTAGTATTTAATTGAATATTTTGGGAGAAATAAAATATATTTGATGTGATATTTTTTTAAAAAAATAAATAGTATTAAATAAATAAAAATATGTTATGTAAACAAAATCTTTATTATTCAAATTGTCAAACCAAAATTCAAATTGTCAAACAAACACATTCACCGAGAGTGTGCAACAGATAATTGATTTAAAATAAAACTATTCAATTTGAATAAGGTAATAAAATGTTGACGGGAGATGACTGATAAATTTAATTTATATTGTAGTTAACAATAATGATAAGGAATTCCTTTTAATATTTTAGAAGCATGGTATAAAGATATATATATTGCATAAATATTAGTATATAAATAATATATAATCTTCTTTTTCAAATATTTTATTATGTTAGGAACAAAAAATCTCGTAATCTATTTTGGCATATCGATACTTCTATTCTTTATATTTATATATATATATATAACATGAGAATACTTAACCATTATCCGAAAGTGCGTATTGAGTAAACCCCCGATCGAATCTAATACTCTGCAAACTAGGTTCGATAAGGCAAGTCACACTAGGCGAACGTCATTAGTTTGAACATATGACCTTACGGTCACAAATCTCACCTTCAACACCACCATATTATCCTTTACGGGACTACTTTCATTATTTCTTGTTGTTGTTGTTCACAGGTTTCCTTTTGCAATAAGGTGCCTGTTTGGTTGCTACAACAAATTGATGACAATATTGTTTGTCTTTCTCTCAGTTGGTGAGCACTCAAGACAAAAGGAATAGATATTTTAGGTGGTCAATTTATTACGGATTTCATGCATAGACACATTATTCTATTTAAGTGCAAGGGATTTTAATTTGTTTGTTTTGCATTTCCTGCATGGTTGTTGTCTTGTATACCGTGAGGTGAGAGTGTGGTTCTATCAAGAGTTTTGAGAGTTGTGTATCAGAGTTTGTTTGTTTTGGGGATTTGATTAGATTTTTATTATTCATCACATTTTTTTTTCTTCAAAAACATCAAATCAAATATCTATTTTTCATTTTCTATATTATTCTAAAAATCAATTTTACATTCAAAACATCACATCAACACCTATTTATGTCACATCATACAACTATTAAAATTCAAAATTTTTACTATTCAAATCCTAACTTAAAATCCAAACTCCCGAACAAACACACTACGGTCACGAACAAATGGATTGTCGGTTCTAAGGGAAGGGCATAACCGTAATTGCATATCCAGTTGTCAATTGGTGTTCGTGGCGAGTCCAAATACGACCACTGGGATCCACATAAAATGTTATACTCATTTTTGGACCATGAAATCAATCTCATATTATACGTGGCGGATTCTCATTGGTTTAGTATCACAATCACGGATTAATAATATCTCTATATGTCTTACGACTACGTTCGTATCATAAAAATTCTTTTTATAATAAAAAATTTATAATATATATTATGATTATTATAAAAAGAAAAAAATAATAAAAAAATATACGTATATTAAAATTAATGTATCTAAAAATTTGAGTATAATTTTAACCAACAGGAAAAGTATTAAAATTGGACTCCAACATTTTATTATTATTACTATCATTACATATTTGAACTTTATCACCACATAATTTTATTATCTATACTTAGGGTCAATTCTGACTTTTTAAAGGCCGGAGGTGAAATAAAACTCAATACTTATATATATATATATAATATTTTTTTATCTATAATAAAATATAAATAATTAAAAATTATTTTTTCTAGTATTATATGATGCAAAAAAATAAAAAAATAATAAAAAAAATCAATAATAATAATAATAATAATTTTGTCTAATACTACTTATTTTTTTTTAATGCCAAAAAATAAAATTGCAACAATAGGACCTCTATATATATAAATGATATACTATAAATTTTTTACGAAAGAATTAAATAAAATATTTTTCTTAGTATTTTTAGATAAAATATCAATAATAGTATTAATATAATTTTGTCTAAAAAATTTCAAAACAAAAAATAAAGTCTTTAAATATGTGTAAATAATATTTCATCTGTCTCAATTCAATAGTCTTGTTTACCATTTTTGTCCGTCCCAAAACAATAGTCTCATTTCCATAAATAATCATATCACTATAAAATTATCCTTACTTTTTCATTATTATTATACAATTATCTGATACTTTTTACACTAATACACTCAGAAGGACAAAAAAAAAATTTTACCAGTACTTTTTACCCACTAACCATATAATATCAATATTCCTTAAATCTCGTGTCAAACACAACCCACTCTATAATTCTGGGATGGAGGGAATAATATATATTTTTGTTATCTATAATAAAATATAAATAATTAAATAAAATAAATTTTATAATATTTTTATATGCAAAATATCAATAATAACATTAATATTAACTTTGTCTAATTCTAATTCTTTATGATGCATAAAAACATATTCTCTAAATATAATGTATATAGCACTTAACCACCAAGTCTTATTCTACTTTTAATACATTAAATCGAATAATTTATATATATAATTATTTTATATATAACATAAATGAATAATGGATCCCTATTCAGATTGGTTACTGGACAGGCACCTCTCGCCCGAGCCCAAGACCAGCTCCTTCTATACTTCAAATGTATATTCAAACTGAATCTATTTATGAATGCGTGTTTGTTTCCTAAAAATAAATTGAAAAAATATTTATTTATATGAGTTATAAAAAATTGTGTATGAAATATAAAAAATAATAAATAGATGTAATATTGAATAATATTTTTGAAAAAATGTATGAAAAAAATATTGTAGAACGAACAAACCCATATATAAGAATTTGATCTAAACCTAAAAGAAAAACTTACATTTGAAAAGATACTATTAGATTTATTTGTCCAATTATTTTTTTATACAATATGATCCTCAATATATATTATATTATTTCACAAAAAAATAAAATTAATATAAATATTACTCCTTCCGTTCCACGTACCATGTCTACGTTGCCGTTTGTGTCCGTCTCACATACCATGTTACTTTCATTTTTTGAAAAATAATTACACACTTTAATCTCATTTTAAATTTTAAATTTTATTATTTTATTTAAATTTTAATTAAACTAATTAGTTATTTTAATCTTAATTTATAATTATTTATATTATCGGATAATTATTTTCACTAATACATTCTTAATTATTTACTAATTACACCCCTCCTAAAATACCGTGTCTACAGTGTAGCAGACACACGGTATGTGGGACGGAGAGAGTATCCATAACAAAGTATCTATTTCTTTTTTTAAGTAACCGTAATATTTATCATAACATTACAAATACCCTTACAGCTTACAATATATTACACAAATGTCATTACATTTGTATCACACAATACTAGTAAAGTTATTTTAGTCATTTCTATTTTATTCCTACTATATTTCAATATAATACTAATATTTTTAAAACTATGTGAAAAAAGAAATGGATATTTAGTTATGAAATTGATGAAATATTATCTATCTAATTTATATATTTTACATATAAAACAATTTCAAATCAAAATATTAAACAAACCAATATTTATTTTTATAAAAATATTTTTTTAATAAAATATTATTTAAACAATAATAATAATAAACATCCAAATCCAATTTATACCCACCAAAGCACACCCAAAACCCTTCTTTGATTTTTTTACTAGAAATGTTATTAAATAACTAAAAATAATTTTTTTTAAAAAAAAATAAAAAATTGCAAATTTGAAGTACAGAGGTCTGCCTTCCGTCGAAGGACGCAAATCCGTTCATCGTTAATCGAATCGAAGGGGAGGGGGGCAAAGGAGGAGTAGATCGGATCCAATCGAAGCATGGTGAGGGAAGTATCAGAGAGCTGCGTGGAGAGTTTAATGGCGGAGGTAGTATCGTCCTATTGCAGGGGCTTCTACGCCAACAAGCCCGAGCTCGCCGCTCCACGGATCGAAGCAATTGGTTTTCAGGTCGGCCACCAACTATCCGAAAGGTCAGTCAGTAACCGCTACTTTTGCATACACGTATGCAACCATTTTTTATTGTTTCGAATTGATGGTTATGCTAATTGGGGAAATTCGAGCAAATTGAGATCCATCAGAACAGTTTGAAGGAAGAAGGAAAAATCGAACGATTTGCGTACTTGTAGTGATTAGAAATTAGAAACACTACTTGAATTTTTATTGATATGGATTTTGAAGACAGTGTAATAATCCATTATACTACTTGGTGATGGTAGTGATTAGTTTCCATTATTGGAAGAAGATTGGGTGTGGATGATTGTCTTCTAACAGGTATTGAGGAGGAAGAAAGCTGTAGATTTCAATAATTGAATAAAAATTGTCATCTGTAGTAGTTCATTTGTGGATTATGTTGAGATTGAGTGGCCAAAATTAGTTTCCCCTTTATGAGATGTTGGTATCCTTTTGGAGCAGTTTATGTTATTGATCGCTTTCGTATCTCTCGGTTGTATGGCATTGGATCTGGGCATGTTCGATGATAAAACTTGGTCTTTTCAGCACATTTCTTTTGGTTATGTTGAGATTGTATTGCAAGAAACAGTTTGCCCTTTCTGAGATGTTGGTTGTTGCTAGTTATCGATTTCATTTTCCGGTTGTATGAATCTCATATTAGAATTGGTTTACAAATGCTCGATGCCTTGATTTGATCAAACTAGTTCCTTTTAGCTCGTTTATTTCGGTTTTGTTGAGATTGTGTGGCAAGAAATAGGTTGCCCGTTCTGAGATGGTGGTATCCTTTTTCGAGCAGGGTGTGTTTGGTTGAAGGTTTGAATTTTCAATAGTAAAAAATTTGAATTTGAATAGTTGTATAATGTGATATAAATAGGTGTTAGGCGCTATATTTTGAAGATAAAAGTAATTTTTAGTATAATATAAAAAATAAAAAATAAGTGTTTGATTTAATGTTTTTAGGAGAAAAAATCTAGTGAATAGTAGAATTTTGGCAAAATCTTTTAACCAAACACCCACTTAAATCAGGTTTTGTCTGTCAGCTGTACAAATCCATTGATTTCTAATAGTTTGCATTCAATTACATCGTAGACTTCTCCTTTTCATAAGTCATATGGAGTGTTTGTTTGAGGGTTTTGATTTTTTAATAGTAAAATTTTGAATCTTTTCTCCTGTACAAATCCATTGACATATGATTTCTAATTTTGATTTGATTTTTTTGGGGAAAAAATGAATTGGAAGTGAATTTTTTTGAAAATTGCACAAAAGAACACAACCTTAGAGTCTCTATATCGTACATTACTTTTGTTACATACCGCTTTATTGTGTCTTGATGGCAATGCCGGTCCTGGTTTCATTCTGTTCCGTCAGGTACACAATGGATCGATCAAGGTTCACCGATCACCTAGAGGCAATCAAATTTATCTGCAAGGAATTTTGGTCTGAACTCTTCAAGAAGCAGATCGACAACTTGAAAACGAATCATAGAGTACGTTTTAGTATGTGAAGAGAAAGTATAGATTAGTTAGACGATGAATATTTATGAAATACTTACATTTTCCTTTCAGGGTACTTTTGTATTGCAAGATAACCGGTTCCGATGGCTAGCTCATATGTCAGTTGATCAATCAGTGGAAGGCGCTTCTTCTGTTCACGATCCTTCGGCTATGGCAGACAACAAATCGATGCAAGCTGCCAGTTTGCATCTTTATTTTCCTTGCGGGATTATAAGAGGAGCACTTTCAAACTTGGGGATAACCTGTGCAGTTTCTGCTGACATATCCAACCTCCCAGCATGTGAGTTTCCGTTTCCTTTTCCTTTAACAACTGAATCTCATTGACGTAAATTATGGAGGAAAAATCATGAATGACAAGTTTAGGTACTTCTGATATTATTACAATGATACCTGGAACAAAAGTTGCTAAGATTGAAATAACTAATAGTATTTTAATTAGTGTTATAATTTAATGTTTGAGCCTGATGTTATTGTGCAATAGTAACGATGGGAATTGAAAAAATCTGCAAGTGGAAGGATACTTCGGGTGTGTTTGTTTGGAGGTTGGATTTGAATAGTTGTATGATGTGATATAAATAAGTATTGATGTGATGTTTTCAATGTAAAATTGATTTTTTAGTATAATATAAAAAGTAAAAAATAAGTGTTTGAGTTGATATATTTTTTTTAGAGGGCGGGGGGAGGGAATTTTATGTGAATAGTTGAAATCTTTCAAAATCCATGGAACAAACACATCCTTGAGTTGCGGCTCAAAAGAGATCTATAAGAGTTGCATTTGGTAGTATACCCCTATTTTGGTTTTAAGAAACTTATCCAACAACGAGACTGCATAGTAAAAAAATACTAAAATAGAGCGGACCCTAATAATAATAACAATAATAAAACTTATGTCATTACAATTTGTATGTTGCTCGATTTTGTTATGCGGTTGAAATTTTAAAGATTAACTCCCGCAAATTTATCATCTTCAACTCTTGCCCGAAGATAAACCAAACCCCTAAATGGAACTTAAGTTGTGGCTAATAATCTACGCCTCACTATCTTCTTTCGATGATTTATCTGCCAGTTGATGATTATGATATGTTGCTGCGCACTTTATTTAATCGTAACTTTTAGCTTAAATAGTTTATGAATGACTCAATATTGTTGCGTAAATGCAAAATGCAATATATGAAGAAATATCATTTGAATTCGAACGCTGGAATCCCCGGAAACATCTATCACAAAAAGCTTTGGTTACATTGCTCGCCATGTTTGTTATCGCTGTCTGAAACTGTCGGTTCTATATATCTTGCAGGTTCGTTTGTTGTCCGTGTAAAAGCTTGAGGAGCAAGTCCATTCGTGACGGGGATTTTTTCTTGTAAGGTAAGTATTCGACTTAATCTTAACATTGGCTTTTGAAACACTATCATTCGAATTTACGTTGTATGTCAGGATTCGTGTTTTTAAACGACTGTGTTAATTGCCTTTATGTTGATTTAGTAAATTTCTTTCATGAAGTGTATAGATTCTTACCTCTCCTTGTGTGTTTCTTTTGTTTTGTGCAAACATAAATATATGTGTTTGTGTGTTTCTACGAGGTTCGTATTTGAAATTGAGATTGGTGAAATTTTGAATTGAAGGAAAAATATTTGTTTTTTTGAAAGTAATAGTATTGTATTTGATTTAATAATTTTGTGAGAACAAATATTGATGGAATAATATAAATCAAAAGTGATTAAAAAGATAGGCTGCCAACATATGATATTAAATATAGACAGTTATACTTCACGTATTGCTCGTCTAGTCTATATAAAATATTGTCATATGATTTATACTTGATGTATTGCTCGTCTAGTCTATATCAATGTTTGGTATGGTGCAAAATTTATTGCTTTACTTGTTCTAGAATGATGTCTAATAATAATAATGAATAAATAAATATTGAATTAAAAGTAGCAATTTTAACTATTATATATATATATATATTTGCCGAAATTAGCAATGAGTACATTTAAGGGTGTGTTTATATATATTTGCCGATATTAGCAATGAGTACATTTAAGGGTGTGATTGGTGGGGGGTTTGGATTTTGAATTGGGATTTGAATAGTAAAAATTTTGAATTTGAATAGTTGTATAATGTGATATACATAGTTGTTGACGCGATATTTTGAATGTAAAATTGATTTTTAGTATAATATAAAAAATAAAAAATAGGTGTTTGATTTGATGTTTTTGGGGGAAAAAAAAAGGGATGAATAGTGAAAATTAAATCCAATTCCCCAAACAAACACACCCTAATACAGACATAAAGGAAGGGTGTGTTTGTTTGGGGGTTTGAATTTTGGATTTGGATTTTTGAAGATTTTGAAGTAAGAATTTTTAAGTTAGTGTTTGTTTGAGGGTTTGAATTTTGGAATGATTATGGTAAAAAAAATTATTATTTTATTGAAAAATTTGATATATTGATGTGATAGTTTAAATAAATTAATATTTAAATATTATTTAAAAAATAAAATAAATAAATAAAATATAATTTGATTTGACGTTTGTGATTGAAAAAAAGCTCTATTCCACAAATACACTGCAGCGACCTCAACGTCTTTTCCTTTCTTCTTTTTTCCGTCGTTCATTTTTTTCTCTTTGTTCTTTTTTTTTTTTTCCTTCTTTTTTTCCCTTTCCCCTTTCTTCTCCTACGTTGGGCCGCTGCTTTTTTCAGGAAACAAGGTCCGCTGCCGACCGCTGGAACATCCAGATGAGTTTTGATTTCTTTTCTTTTTTTTTTTTTTTTTTTTTTTTTTACCTTATTTTTACAATTTTGATTTTTCAATTTTATTTTTTTTTTAAATTCTACACCTTCTTCCGCCACCTTCTTTCGCCGGCCGTTGCCGTCGCCGGCACCTCAACATTCTTTGGCCGAAGTAGACGGCTAGGATTTTTTAGGTGGGGGGGTTTTGGAATTTGTAGATTGTGGATTTAAACAGTAAAATCACAGTAAAATTATTTGTAAATCTTACAAACGAACAAACCCGAAGTGTTTTTAGTACACTAAAGCTTATCTATACACCACACGACACAAGCTTTTATGTAGCACAATACTATATTGATGGTATTGGTTATTTCTAAGTACACAGATATTTGATAGTCCAATCGAACCGAATAAATATTTAAAACTGTAAACCGTATTAAAAAAAAATAAGAAAAAAACATTAAAATAACTAAAATCTTAATTAAATAAAAAAAAATACTTTGTAAATATTTCAAATCAAACCGAAATCGATTACAATATAATTGTACTTTAAAATTCAAAATATAATGATATAACAATATAAATAGCAAAACCGAACCAAACCAAATCAAATTTAAATCGAATATACAATATTTGTATTCGAATTGAATTTGTTCGATTAATCAACAATTTAATTTGATTAGATTTGTTTGATAGACATACTATATTAGAATGTAGTAGAAATAAAGGTAAAAATACTAAACTACTCTTATTAGTATTGTACGATACAAAAGTAACGACATTTGTGTTATTAAGTAGATAGTACAATACCTTGTTATGAGACGGATCAAAATGAAAAAATAGATAGATTGTTAATGGACGTAGGAAGTATATTTCTTTAAAAAAAGAAAAACATCGTCTTCAAATGATTATTTGAACAAAAATCATATGCATACCAAATACCATATCCTTAAATTTTTAACAAAGAAAAAATTGGATTCTTTTATTCCAATCAACAATGATTTCATCCAAGTTTTCCCATCAAAGTCAAAGTCAACACACCATAGCTCTATGCAAACAGCATCAAATTCCACATTGATCAGCAGGAGACAACTTACAAGTCAAAAAATTCTTAGAAATCCTTAGAATAAAAAGAAACCACTGCAAATTTTTCAACAATGGTTTGCAATATACACATTCTTGGATGTTTCTACCTACACAACTAAAAAGAATCAACGAATAAAAGAATCCCGATCCCGACGACGCCCCCGAACTACTTATTCATCCGAATATCTACCCTACAAACCATCTCTTCGTCTCAATTCATCGATCCGATGTGAAAAAAAGAGACAAAAATTGGATAATCGAATTCATTGTACCTGTCACTAATTTCCCGTCACCGAACCAAATAACAATCCTCTTCATCCGAGCTCGGCTCCCCAATGCTAAGTCTTAATTCATCGAATCCGCAAGAAGCCAAAGACTCTTCTTTTATCGTTTGTCCGTTTGCGAACTGGCGAACGAAGGCTTCCAATGCTTCCTTCATCCATAAATGCGAGCATAGTTCGCGGGCTTCGTCTATCGTCATCCAAACACGATGGCGGACATCTTTCTCCGGCCATACTTCCAATTCCTCCTTCACCAATAAGGAAAACATCGATGCTTCGTGTTGCTTCTCTTGGCTTCTACTCTTGAAAATCCATTCGCCTAATTTGTCCTAAAAGACGCGGCAACGAATTAGATTAGATTATATTTAATTTGATTACACAACAACACAAGAAAGTTAGACCAAGTTTACATATATTTTCAAATCATTCTAGCGCTATTGGTCATCATCATCATTATCATCATCATCACGTCCTTATATTTTTTCATTTAAAATAGGCACAATTGTCCATAACTCCTTTGTGGTTACGAAAATCAACGTAAATCCCCCATTTACATTAAAAATTGCATGGCGTCCCCCTATATTTTAAAAATGTTGCATGAAACCCCTTTGTGGTTTCGAAATTCAGAGTAAATCCCCACTTTATATTAAAAAATGATTGACGTCCCCCAATACTTTAAAATGTTGCATGAAACTGGATAGAAAATCATTTTTTCATTACACAATGGAGGTTTTATGGTGGTGGAGTTTCATGCAACGTCTTTGCAAGTGTAAGGGGTATCATGCAATTTTTAAAGTATAAGGAGATCTTACGTTGAATTTCGAAATCACAGGGTGTTATAAGCAATTTTACCTTTAAAATATTACATCCGAAACCTATATTTTATAGGTAGTTTCATATCTAAATGCAAGTTAAATCTTTCATTGCACTTCCAAAACATCTTTAAAAGCAACTTAAATCTATCATCGCCATTAAAACAGCTTGTGAAGAATACTCACCCCGAGCAAGCCAACTACGCCGGCTTCCTCTAACGTCTCCCGGGAGGCGGCCAATCCGATATCCTCGTCGAGTTCCCAACCACCCTGTTTAACCAATGTAACAATGTCAGTTCATAAATATCAATATATATATATATATATAATCACTTCAATTGTATTTCAAAGGGAATTGAAATTTGGGTAAAAAGTCTTCACCTTAGGGAACATCATTCTTGAACTCTTCTGAGAGCTTATCAAAAGGACTTCCAAATCTTCAATCGAAATCTCATCAATTTCTGCTGATTTCTCAGCTTTGATTCTGTACGGAACACACCTGCACAGTTTTCATAAGGCAAATGTAAGTTTCAAGATTGTGGGGGAAAATTTCAGAAACCCTAATTGACCATTTTTCCCCAATTTTTCACTCAAATAGAACATCGAAAATCGCAGAAATTTTGAGGCAGCAGCAGAATACATACCCGACGACCTGACGAAACCCTTGATTGTAGCGCTGCAAATGCCTGCCCGATCGAGAAGGCGACGTCGCCAATTTCTTGATGTGCAGAGTCATAATTGATTCGAAAATATCGCTGGCTTCAACAAATCGATGGAGCAAATATGAATCTCCGCCCACCAATAAACCCTAATTTCTTCAAAATCAGCTCAGCTGCGGTTTGGGTGAGATGTGGAATCAGTGAACGACGAAAAAATAACTAAAATGAGCGGCCTATTTATGGAGGAAGGGAAGGGGATAAGCAACAACGAGTGCTGAGAATGGAGATGGAGACAAATGATTGGCAGGTCGAATAAAATTACAAAAAGAACAGGGAATCCCCACAACAATCCGTGTGGATGAACAGTGCTGTGATTATCGTTATAATAATAATAATAATAATAATTTGGAAAATACAATTCTTCTACGATTAGGATGTCTTGGATGGATGGATGGATGATCGATTCCGATTAAATTAATCCCTCTTTTGGGAATCAAATTAGGGTTTCTCTGGATGGACGCGTACGACGTCGCTTTCGGGGTTTTGGGAATCTGCCATGATGGGTGGGGAAGAAGCTCTTGCACGTGTCCTGTGTACGGTTGTGGGCTTCGCGTAGCTCCCGCTTTGGGATTTAATTTGCAAAGCAGTCCCTGTACTTTGGGGGGTTTGTGGGGTTCCTCACGTCACCATTTCTGATTGTTACTCTCTTCGTTCCATATAATTTATCCATATTTTTTATTTTTGTTTCCACATAATTTATTCTTTCTATTCTTGAAAATATAATTATGCACTTTAATCGCATTTTAAATTTTTATTTTTTTTATTTTTTAATTTTAATTAAACTATTTACTTATTTTAATCTTAATTTATAATTATTTTTACTAAATAATAATTAATTTTACTAATATACTTCTTAATTATTTACTAATTATACTTTACCTAAATTCTCGTGTCTACGGTAATACACTCATATTAGATAGAACCGAGAGAATATTTCCTACAGTACATTTCAATTAATGATATTACTATTTTTATTATTTTAATCTAAAAATATCGTCCCAAAAGATTTGTCTTGTTTTTTCATATTTGTCCATCCCAAAACAATTGTGTTGTTTCCTTATTTAGTAGTTGTGGTCCCTACTTTAAAATAAAATTATTCCTATTTTTTCATACTACTCATAATTATTACTCTAACATACTCTTTAAAATCATTCAAAAAGTAAGGACATTTTAGTAATTTATATTCTACTTTATACCTACTTGTGCCAACTCTCAACAAGACACTTCTTTTGAGACGGAGGGAGTATTTTTTATTATAATAAAAGTAATTATATATTAATATTAAAGTATTTTAAATTTTTATATAAATTTATAAATATTCATCACATACAAAATTATTTTATACTTTCTCATAATATACATTTATTTTTTACTCCTAGTTTAAACAATAATACTCCCTCCGTTCCAGATACCATGTCCATGTTGTCCGTTTTTGTGCGTCCCACATACCATATCACTTTCCTTTTTTGGAAAATGATTACATACTTTAATTTTATTTTAAATTTTTTAATTTTATTTTTTTTAATTTTAATTAAACTAATTAGCTATTTTAATCTTAATTTATAATTATTTATATTATAGGATAATTATTTTCACTAATACATTCTTAATTATCTACTAATTACACATTCCTAAAATACCGTGTCTACAGTGTAGCAGACACAGTATCTGGAATGAAGGGAGTAATATTTTAGTTATAATGAATAGTTAGTAATGTTAGTTTTTATCTTAGATCTTTTTTGTTTACTTTGTATAATCAGAATAAAAATATTTTTATTCTGTCTAATTCAAAAGCATTTTTTTGGAATTTTATATTATATATATTAAGTAATAATATTAATATTTTATTAGTCAGTTGAAGTATGTAAAAATTTTGATATTTTTGTTATTTGACTTTATGTATATAATAATTGTACTTTAATAATATTTTATAATTATAGATATTTTAATTTTAATTATAATTATTTTTATTAAAATAAAAAATTATTATTATTTTTATTAACTGAAACAAACAAAAATAATAAAAAATTATCTTGAGTTCAGAGGGAGTGAATATAATTTTTTACAATACTTTGTTACATTAAAAATATCATTCAAATTAAAATTCAAATAAAAAATTTAAATTCAAACAAAATAAATATAAATTTGATTTTTTTTAATAGTAAAATTTGAATGGACTAATATTTAAGGAGTGAATAATGTTTAATATAATATTTTAAATTAAAATTTTAATTTTAATTTTTTATAAATTATATAAAATAAAAATATGTATTTTATTTAATATTTATTAATAAAAAACTGATAAATAATACTCCCTCATTCCCACATAATTTGTCCTTATTTTCTATTTTCGCCTGTCTCACATAATTTGTCTTTTTTTTCTATTTTAAATATCATAATTTATTATTTTTTTAATTTTAATTAAACTATTTAGTTATTTTAATCTTAATCTATAATTATTTTTATCAAATAATAATTATTTTTACTAATAAATTTTTCAAGCACTTACTAATCATATTCTATTTAAATTATCTTATCTACAGTAATGCGTCCAAAATATATGGGACAAAGGAGTATGAGTTTGAGTGTTTTTGTTTATTAAAATTGTTTGAAGATTTTTTTTTTCTTTTTTTTTTATACGAGGTAATACACCTTAAAATTTAAATGTGAGTTAGGGTTTTGGAATATGAAGATTCCTTCTTGAAATTTTTTTTTAAAAAAAAAAATAATAATAATAAATATTTAATGTAGTATACAGTAAATAAAAATACATTTAATATAATATTGTATAAAAAATTATCAATGATAAATAATTGAAAAATGAAAAACATATATAAATAAAGCAGAGAATTTTGTGTTAATATATACTCTCTCCGTCCGGTGGAAGAGGAAGTCTTTTTTTCAGGAACACGATAATAATGTAGGTTATTAAATTATTAATAATAAGTTAAAATAATATTTTATTATTTTTTATATATGTAATATTATTGGTATTTTAAATATTTTTAAAATTATATTTTAATAAAATATATGCAATATAGATATCATTTTGTAAACAATAAAATTTTATATAATACAAATAAATAAAAAAATATATTTATTTATCATTCTCATAAATTAGTTTTATAAAAAATGAAGAGTTTTAAAGGTGGATAAAAATATTTGTTAATTGAGGAGAGAGATGGGTTTTGAGTGGGTCCTACGTATAAGATGTTAGAAGCTTAATTAAATTGATTTATATTTGTTAAGTATGTTTATAATTGATAAACTTACCAAAAATAGAAATTAATCATTTTTTGTAGAATGTACCAAAAAGAAAATTGGGTCATTTGTGGCGGGGCAGAGCGAGTATAACATAAAAGAAGTACTCCCTCCGTCCCAGAAGAAATATCTTGTCGGGAGTTGGCACGGGAATTAAAGAATAATAGTATTTAATTGAAAGTGGGTATAAAGTAGAATGTAAAATACTATAATGCCGTTGCTTTTTTTAAGAATTTTAGGGGTAGTTTGGAAAAATATGAATAATTTTGTTATAAAATAGGGACCATAATTACTAAATAAGAAAACAAGACAATTGGACGAAAATGAAAAAGATAAGACAACTTTTTTGAGACGGAGGGAGTATTTGATATTATGTTTTAAATTAAAAATAATTTTATAGTTATTAAATAAAAATTAGATATTTAATAAGATATTTTTAAAAAAATAAAAATAAAAATTGATCAATGGTGCAGCTTTGTGATTTAGTTTGCAGATCAGGCCCTCTAGTTTAGTGGATTTGTGGGATTGCCCCGTTCGCCCTTTGGGATGGCGTTGGGACTGAATTTGAAGCCAGTCCCTAGACTTTGGTGGATTTGCGGGTTTGCTCCATTGCCTTTTGGGGTTGTATTGGCGAGGGAGTTTGACATTTTTAGGTGGATGAAAATATTTGATCTTATTTTATTTATTGGGGTTTGACGTTGGGTAGATGTCAGCGGTCGAACGCTCGGTTGACTTTGAAAATTGGTCTCCGTCGGTGGTGAGTCGTGAAACAGACTTAATTTGTGTTTGACCTTGATCCTATGTCAACGCCTGAGATTTTAGGTTTAAATCATGCATGAGTGTGAATTGATTTTTTTAAATATTATTACGTGTATTTTTTTTAATTATTTTTTTATTGAGGGCTTAATTTGAAAAGGTGCTTAGTTTATCTACGTGTTCTAAGTAGTTTTATTTTAATATTGAATATTATTACAATTTTCAAAGTTTGGTGTAGTTTGGTATATGTTGCTAGAAAGTTCACATTTGTATTTAGCCGAGGTTTGTCATCGGGTGCAAATCCAAGTTCCACATTGGAAGATGTGAAGAAAAATCAACACTTTATAAGTTCCCACATAAACTCCACTGGTATGAGGCTTTTTGAAGGAAATCCAAAAACAAATCCGCGGACTCAACTTAAAGCGGACAATATCATATTCTAGGATTGAGTTGGTATCAGAGTCCGGTTAGATGGTGAAGTGGACTGGGAGGTATTGGGCATTGGTGGTGGTGGTGGAGGACTCGCCCTCGTGACATGCGGATAAGCCTTGTGTTGAAAGTCTCCTGGCGTTGTTGGGTCGGTCCCGAAATCAAAATGATTGAGATCATACGATTTTTATTAAAAATATATTTTTTTCGTTTCGGATATTATGTTCATGTTACTGTAGATACGCGAAAATTTATGAATGATATAATTAGTAAATAATTAAGAATTAATTAATAAGAATAATTAATAATTGATTAGTAAAAATAATTATCGAATTATAAAAATAATATAGATTAAGACTAAAATAATTAATTAATCTAATTAAAATTATAAAAAAAATAATAATTAAAAATTTTAAAATAAAATTAAAGTTTATAATTATTTTCTAAAAAAAATGTAACAAAATAGGTGGACGAATGAAAATGAAAAAATAGATATAATAAGTGGGACTGATGGAGTATTCAATATTTTTTAGAAAAATATCATACTCTTTTCATCGAAGAGTGAACTTTTCATTTTGTCAATTTAGTTTGGTTAAATCAAAACTTTTAATTTTTTTAATAAAAGTAACTATCAACTAAATATCAATTATCCTTACTTTTTTTCTTTTTTTTTTTTTTTTAACAATACTTTTACTTAAATGTCAAAGACAAAATAGATATTACATTATTTAATTACACTACATATTAATTTACGTGCAAAATTCAAATGAAAAATTTACAAATGAATAGA